AGGATTCTTATACCAACGGTGCTTTGACAGGGCACTCGACTTATAATCATTAGGTTGTAAATGCAAATCCCGAGCAGTCATTTCTCTGGGGTGATTAAATGCACACTCTTAAATAGAAGGTGAACCCTGCTCATTCTATGGATATACTGGCCCCCACCAATAGGAAAGCATAATTTCTACTGCTGGCTCAGAGTCGCCAATGCAAATTATATACCACCCTGCACTCATTTGTGTAAACAGGACACAATTTTCGATTTTTGTACTTACATTTCATTGAAATCTGCTGCAATGAACGTCTCATTCCAAACTTTACAGTACATTCTTCATAGAATGGAGCAATGGATTTTGTTGTGAAAGTTTCTGCAAAGGGAATTGTGTGAGCTTTCGATTGTGTGTGTGTGCGGGAGTGTTTAATGTTTTTTTCCCTTTTCTTGGCACCCGGTGTGCCTGTGCCAACTGTGGGTGTGTGCAGTCACGCGTCCCGAGTGGACATCAAAGGACCCGCCATAGATTCCTCCAGCCCTCCGCTGGTAAATCGGATGCCGCGCACACGTGGGTCCCATTTCGCGGGAGCTTTTGGAAGCGTGCGGTTACCATCCCCTGGGACCAGGGAAGGAACCTCCGCTGTGTGGCACGTTGAACCCTTGCCTTCCTTGCCAGACCCGCTGGGTTGGCCCATCATCAGTGGCAGTGTTTGGGCGTCTGCGACAAAGTAAACATTTAGGGAATCATAAGGCTCAAGAGGTCCCAGATTCATGAAAAGAACAATTGGTGTTCATCTAATATCAGCCAAAATTAAAATGCAAATAAACATAACAAGGTAATTCATACACTGAAAAAGACAATCTCTCATCTCGGTATTGTCTGCATCTCTTTGCTCTCATCTCACTATTTTGTCTACATTTATTTTTTTCTCACTCCGTTGATATATCTTGTCGATATCTGTTCTGTTATCTCACTGGTATTTTTATTAAATGAAAGGGAAGCCCCCCACAAATTAGTTTGGCTTACGGCCTCCCAATAAATTAGCCACCACCGATGGGGAATGCTGGCGCACAGTACGTTGGGGGCATGGGCAGTGTAGGTTGGTGGATCACGCAGAGATAATCGTTTGCTCTGAGATTGCAATCTGTATGAGGTAGCCAGGAGATTGCAGCACAACAATTAGGTTTCTCACAAGCCTGTGCAGATTTGTTGTGGGTTTCTCTGAGCACTTTACATTCATTCCACTTGTAAAATTATCCTTTGAAAATTAAACCTCAAGTAAAATTACAGCTCAGGAATACAGGCGCTATTTATTTCTGGGTGCCCCAGGCATCTGAAACATACATTTACAAATGCATCACCTAGAACTCGAATTACCACCTCTGAGTACAATAAAACTGGGACATGTCATGGGGAGAATATTTGACAGTAATAGAAAAGCAGAGGACAACATGTAAATGCATTGTCTGGAGTGAGTGGTGTATTACTACACAGCTCCCATAAATCCGGCATTTTTTATGTCCCGCGACGACTTACAGATTTCTCAGGACAGATACCTGAAAAGGAGGACCTTAGGGTTTCCACCAAGCATGTTGTAGCAGCCCGTCTGAAAACTGAATACACACATGTATTTCAATGGAAAATATCAACCAGATGTCACTGGAATAAGTGTGCACTTCTAATCATGTTGTCCAAAATGTTGTTTTGTGTATCTGCCAAATTGCCCATTCACCATTTGTGATATGTATACCATCCACAATGGGTGTGCTATCAAAGGCTTGCAAAGGACATTCAGTGGCAAATTTAACGTGTGTCATCAAATATATATGCACATCTGCGTTTTGTGCATATTTCACGGGCCGACGAATGTTACTTCGGTGTTTTATTCATCATGTGTGTTTCGAGTCACGAGGTCCTTTGCGCATAGCCTCGTGCAGGGTGTGATGGGCTAATGGTGGCCCCTGGTGGCGACCAATGTACACTGCAATTCATTACATAATGGCAAACTTAAACTATACTACAGTACTGTATCTTTATTTTTTCCAGAAAGGCTCACTGAGCTATATAGCTTTGTTTCAAAAGTGACAGTTTATAACAGCCAATTACTCTTAACGAATGTTTATAAATGTGGAGGGAAAAACCGGAAGACCTGGAGAAAAAGCCACACGCCACCGTGGCTAATATAATAGCCACAACAACGGACATTCCTCATTACGTTCCTCATGCGATGTGAAATTGCCTTTGAATTTACACAATACAGTACTGCATTAACGACTACGTGGCGACTGTTATTCCGTGATTTTGGAGGCAGAGTTGTGGATCACGCAGAGATGGGTCCATTGTGAGTGGGGCATCCCTCAAAGTGCTTCTGCGCAAACAACCATGGCGTGGCGATGATCTCTATTGGTGGCCCTAAACCAGCAGTTGAAATTACACATCCCCATAAGGGGCAATACGTTGAGTACGTACGCAAAAATCTGTCAAAACTGGACCCCTCTCCCCGTACGCACGCGTACTTTTTACACCCCCCCCCCCCCGGAATCCTATAGAACGGCCGATATTTAATCCACGCAGAAACGATTAAGGATTAATAACTATTAACGTGTTTAAGCAAACAGATAGTCCACCGCCGGACTATCTAACTTATTTGAAGGCCAATGTAGACAAATTATTATCGAGGCTTCACCCCCCCCCCCCTCCATGCGTACGTACTAAATGGATAGCCCCTAACGGAGGTCAGTTAATCTGTAGGAAACCCACGAACAGCTTTCCTAAAAGTTGTACTAAATATAGATATGGTGGCCTGATTTGAGGCTGTACTGAGATATGAATGCACCACCTTCCAATAAAAATTAATTGCTTTACCAGCAGCAAATAGGTTTTTTGACTTATGTGTGTGGGGGTAGGAATATTCGTCTTTCAAAGGGAAGGGTTTTCTCTAGATTTTCTTCCAAACATAAAACAATCAATTGGCTATTCAGGTATCTTCATTATTTAGGTGACTTAATAATGAAACACACTTTGGTGTGGCACTTATTTTTGTCAGTGGTGTTGAGCCAGTGATGGAAATGCCACATGCATATGACTGTGGCCATTGGCTCTCTCGGACAAGTACTGTCAGCAACCTTCCACAAAGAGGCACTAATTTATTGAGTCAGGATTTCAAATGCCAAGTTTTTAATTATGAGTAAAGCACTCTAATCAGAGCTCCACCCATCCAGATTGCGTAAATAATGCACTGTGCATTTATTGGCGAGGAGTGCACGCTGCAAACATTGGCTCATTTCCTGAGGTTGCCCTGCCCAGGAAAAGGTTTCTAAAGTGGTGCTGGTGTTCACTGTCAAAGCCGTGCCAACTCGCACGCTCTCACACGACATGCACGCGCAGGCTGGGCACCCGAATTCGATTCCCGGTCACGGCGAAAGTAATCTCCAAAAATATAAAAGGCAAAGTTGTGAATATGTGTGTCTGTTCAAAATGTTTAGCGTACTTCCCGACATGCAAAAAACTGGAAATTTGCCACGTGGGTATTTCCCAGACTGTACACCATGCAAAAATTATTAAAATACACTTTTGGTTTTTTTTGGGTGGGGGGGGGGAGCTCAATATGCATTTATTTTTTGCACGGCAAGTGAACTGTGACGTCACATCTGTCATGTGACCCGCGCATGTGGAAGCGTAACGCATTGTAGTGTAGTGGTTAGCGCGCCGCGCTACGAACCCGGCGACACGAGTTAGATTCCCGCTCACGGCCACCACCGCTGACAATTATTTCAACGGTCCTGGGCCTCCCCTAGGTCGACTCAGCCTCAAACGAATAACTGGTGTGCTGAGTGAACATCGCCACTGGGGAGACAAAGGCGGCCGGGCGTGGTGAATCCAAGTCCCGGGCGAAGCCGGGGTAGTAAAGCTAATACAGTAAATAGCGGTGAATATTGTAATTAATCTGGGCCTCGCCCAGATTGATTCACTCTTGATTGATTACCTGGCGTAGTGTGTAAACTTTGGCACTGTGGTGACAAAGGCGGCGTCAGGACTGGTGCTGGCCCACACCATGCCCTCGTGCGCTCTGCTGGCATAAATATGTGCTCACTACAGCGAGATGTTAACTACCTCGCCTGGTATACCAGAGTTTGTGTAGCTTCGACCCTGACGCCTCTAATATATGGAGCTTGCATGTTCTCCCCGTGGTCGCGTGGATTTTTCTCCCGGCCCTCCGGGTTTTCCCTCTGCATTGAAAATCAACATGCGTTTCGAGCTATAATTATTTGAGTCCAGGTCGCTTCTGAAAAAATTAACTATTTCGCTCAGTGGGCCTTACCTGGTAAAATGAAAAATTGTTAACAGTGCTTGCTTCAACATCTGTTAAGGCTATGTGGGGCAACTTTGCCTATCTAAATGTCTGTTCCTGCCAGTATTTTGCAGGGTGGCTCTTGAAAAGTGTGCGTTGACTACCGATGTGGTGAGGTTTTCAGAACACTGGCAATTCGTATTTTTAAAAACGTTATAATTTAATTACTTAAAATACATAAAAAAAACTATAATTGTGAAACATTGTGTTGATTATACCTTGGAAATACTGTACTAATACTACACGTGTGCTTTATACGTGATCTGAATTAATTTGCTCCTGCCATCATCACATTTACCTAAACTGTTCCTGCAAATAGTTTTCCAAATTTTGTATTTGAAATAACAGTGGAATATCGAAAATGTAAGGCACAACACAATTACCAATAACTTTATTGTACACTGAGAGTGGAATAATACCGACAGATCCATTTGCACCTATTTGGTAAAAAGAGTAACAATTATTTGTCGTACGTTACCCCTCAACACTGGCTGCTAGTTGGTGTAATTTTTCAGAATCCTACTCACACTTCCACCCACTTACCCACCCATTCACCCCCAATGCCACCAATGCAGCCACCCACCGAGACAGCCACCCACCCACCCACACAGGGCATAGTTTCATGCCGCCCTTGCAGAGCTCATTAATTCTGGCTGTTCAAAGGCGGTGCTAGGCATTGGTGACTGGCTGGCCGTCAGTGAGGACGCATCACGCACACTCACACTGCTGTGTAGCTGGAGGTGCAGACATGGCTGGGACATGCTGCTGCGTCTTGGTGTGGCTGGCCTGCCTAGGCAGTTTGAGTGCTGCCTTCTCTGCTAATGGAGGTGAGTGTACGGAGATAGTGGGATTGAGATTCGTGAAGTTAGGCAATAAGTATAACTAGGAATGTTCTAAGTGCAGCGGTCGTGATTTGAGGCTGCGGGTTGAGACGCGATGAACTTCACATGAGATTTCCCAGTTCTAGGTGACTCAGGCAGATGGCCAAATTGGTTTATGGGACATTGATCACAATATTATTTTCCAATCGGGTGGCACTGTGGTCAAGTACTCAACACTTATTTGGAATGTTTCGAGTTTATATTCCAGTCGATGGTTGACTCATCATCCCTCTGGGGATGAACAGGAGTACCACTACCTGGGAATTCTAAAGCAGGGAGTGGTTTATGTCAAGCAAATGTGGAATATCCACAGCTTGCTTAGGGCTGCCAATGAAAATTTACTCTGCCTTGTGCACAAAAAATTCTGCCACCTTTCCACAAAAACTAGTTTCGTAATAATTTATTGATTTGCTTTTTTTTCTGCTGCTCTCTTATACATTTATATTTTCTGTTTCTCTCCGGTGCATTTGAATTGTGTTTTCAGGACTAATGTTAGGTTAAGATGCTGTTCGGTATCGGTTTGTGGTCAAAACTCCAGACTTCCCTGTGTAGATTTGGATAATTATTTCTGCTGTATGAAGAATAGTAAAATAACTGAAACAGGCAAAGGTCGATTTATCCACCTAAAAATATGAACAAAATAATATTTAAGCCTATCAACCTATGGATCTTCTGAAACAATATTTTCTAGCAGCATTGATGCCCGCAAATTCTGAGCCATTTTCACTTTCTGAGTCTAATTAGCAGTGCTGGTACTGTTAAGCAAAAGCGTCAGGGTTTCATGGTGTTAAGGGTAACATCTATTTACGAACTTTGGAGCCCGCTCAGCCGAGTGCAGAAAAAATGCACGTTTATTTTGATCTGTTTTGGTGGATTACATGGCTGTATGTATGGATCGTGGGCAATAACGAACACATTAAGAGACCCTTGTCTGTGTCACCATCGTAAAATACAACAACACACATTTAGACTCATATGTCTTCAGGGTTGCTGATTTCACAGACTCTAAATTTATTTGGGGAATTTTGTTGTTGTCTCTGAACAACTCAGGGAGAGTGGTTGTGGCCAAAGCGGCAGGTGGGATGGAGGTGTCTGGCGCCGAGGCTCTTTGCGCCTCCATTGGCAGCCGCCTCTCTACACTGGCAGAGATGAGCAACTTCGTGTCCAAGTGTGGCCTGCTTGAGTGCCGGCCGGCATGGCTGTCCGACGGCAGCCTCAGGTGAGCGAGCGCACAGACCGAAGCGCATTCCCATGAAGAGTGATTCATTTCCACCTCAACGAACCCGTGAACCGATGTCCAGTTAATTTCACTGCGGCTTATTACATCAAATGCGATTCAGTGTCACTGCTAACTGCTAAAGCAATTGCGATTGACTTTCATTGTGACTTCTTAAAGTTATTGCCGTTCAACTTCATTGTAACGTAGTCAATCAATTGCTATTCAGTTTCTTGGAACCTTTTTTATTCACTGTAATTAATTGCCTTTCAGTTTTATTCCAACGTATTAAAGCAAGTGGCTTTCACCTGCATTTAAGGAAACCACTGTGATTTTATGTAAACGTACATCCCTTTTGTCAATCCACTTCTGGACGAGGGCCTTCCAACGGCTTGTGCCGGTTGTAAGGATTAATTTACCATACTTGGCCGTGCTAGTCGATGCACAGAGGTACAATAGTAGATTTTGCTGTTTTGTTTCATGAATGCATTTTTACGTGATCTCACTTTCACAATGTTCTTTTTTATTTGAAAGTAATTACTTTGAGTGGATTTTTTCTCTCACAAAAACTGTCAGTCTCTCTCCGTATACGTTTGCAAATGTGTTTTCGGAGGTTGCACATTGAAACATGTTGTGATTTTTCGTTAAAATTATGATAATCATGAAAGCTTATGCACAACAGGAGCAAAAATCCACAGACAAGCTGGTGTTTGTGTAGTTCCATCACGCAAAGATAGCCCTCACACCCAAGTGGAATGATTTTGAAAACGATCGTGGCAGACTTCTAAATAGCAGTAGGGATTTGAGAGGCAATATATATTTATGCTCGTAGTCAATTTAACAAAGTAATCTGCCACAAATGAAATTTACATTTGTTTTAATATTGGAGAGAATTATATAGATTAATTTGATTTATGACATTATAATATTAACAAGCAGAAGTACGGCATTACTATTTTAGGGGTTAATGGACAAGATGAATCAATCAGCACATAGTTCAAATAAAGATCAGACATTAAAAGCAACCTGAACATAATACATTTAACATTTCACGGAATTTTGCACATTTTCAGCTGTGAAAATTATAAAATTCAGATTTACTGCCATGTGATGAACATCTCTTTCGTAGAACACATGGGAAATTTCAGCAACACGAGTGTGTTGATATCAGGTTACTTGAGGGGATCTCATTAATAGATTGTAATACCATCTTCAGCAGGCAATTCCCTATCACAGGTGATGCAATTCTCTGTGAAAGCTCCATCTACACATTTTTTTCATCTCATGACATGATACTGATAGCGCAATGGAAATACAAGTCAGATTCTCTGACTTTATACAAAACGGCTGAACGCCTGCTCCTTAAGAAACTCCTGCCCCTCAATTTAACACGTAGGCTTTGACAACCAATATTATTCATAATAAATGTTTTTGGGTTAGATCGCATAAATATAAGTGTGTCATTAACCTACCACACAATTCTGGCCAATCGCATGATGAAGCTGGTTGTAATTACCAGTGAAGCGTCGTACTCAAGTGTAAATGTTGTGGATTTACTTGCCATCACACCGATGTGCTGAAGTAATCGCTAATCGGCACGTTTGGTTCACGCAACAAACCTTACTAATTGGCTGTGTTGGGTGGTGGTGGCGGTGGGTTAACGACACATTTCAATTGATGCGATCTAACCCCCCAAAAATAACCTTTATTGCGAATCCTGCCCCTCACTCTGAACAGGACGGCCGGCTGCGGGAACAGCAGTGAAGGCCTACAGGAGGACGTGGCGCTGCCTCCCCAGCCACCACCGCCGTCGCCCCAAGGCCCAGTGGCCGGAGTCACGATCCGCCCCAGGGGCCTGACCTCCAGCCTCGCATTCTGCTTCATCCTGCCCGGTATGGCACTTGGATGCAGGGTTAATGGATCACACACAGAGATCGTCGCTGACTCTATAAGTCTCTCCGTCTGCTAGGCTACAAGGGGATCGAAGCCGGTCAATGGAATTACGGCGATGATCTATCCATGTAATTTTACATTTAGCTGCATTTCCTCGTATGAAGTGTTTTTTTTTTCTCCAGATGCCGTGGCTCCCACATTTAAAATTAATCAAGGCATTGGCCGAACATCCTCGAAAGAACCCTCCTGACAGGGTGGATATATATAGGAAGGAACTCTTATTATTATTACTACTGCATGAATGTAACTTTCAGCTGAGTAGCTGTCACGAAGGCCATGAGGTCACAATCAAACGTCCATGAGTTCAAATCCGAGTGATGGGTCAAGAGACTGATCCCCACCATGAGAATGTGGAATGTCTACCAGTAGCTGTGGTCTGCCAACAGAAATGAACATTACTGCGCACTCATTTGAGTGTGTGGACACTGTCCCGTTTAAGAAATAATTGTTGTATCAGTGGTAGAATCATGTATAGGGTTGCATCTACATTTGTGTAACATGACTGAGGAATGCTGTATTAAAACACTGCTCCGTGTTTTAAGAAGCAATTAGGCAATGCATGTTGGTTTTAACATTCTGCATTAATGGGAAACTCACAGCATAAACAAACATATTGCAAAGAAAAACACAACGATGTGGCTCCTCTGTTGCATCTTAGGAGTACAATTATCAGATTGTGCTCATTAAGTTTAGGAAACCAAGTTAAAACAATAATTATAGCATTCCTACTCGTGCATATATGTGGCGCAATTGGTCTGCAGTATTAAGACGATTCGCAATCTTCCTGAGAAGATTTGATACATCTGTGAGCAGGTTTATCGTAATTTATGTACAAAGCTTTTTACTGACCTCTATGTCTATCGGTATGTCTGTATTTGCTTGAGCTATGTGTCTGTCTAGCTGCCTACCCATCTACCAATATACACATGTGTTCGCCTGTCTCTCTGGCTGGGTAGCAATTTCAGTGAGAGAGCTTGACTCATCATCTGAAGGATGTCTGCTCAATGTCTGGTTCATGTTTCATTCGGCCTATGATCGCTGTGTAATCAATAAATATTATATTGTGGACTACTAATTGTGATCACCCTCTGGTTAGACTCACCACAGCCATGGGAATGTGGACTTTCCTTCGCTGGCTCAGGTCCGCCGATAATTATGAATGTATTTGTAATGTTTACCCATCATCACAGTGCAGCACTTGATTATTTTGTTGGGATTTAAGGGCCATTTCCGGCCTCCACCCACCCCACCCTCTTAAAACAATAAGAAAGCACTCAAAGCAATACTTATAAACGCGTTTGAAAATATGGGGTTCGCGGAAGTGAATCTGTTTACAATATGAAGAGAAGAATTCATACGCGTAATTAGCAATACATTTTTTCTAATTAGGAGTGCCTGAATTAACATTTATCACAAATAGAGTGTCTCCATGCTGTGCCACAGAACATTTCTCAATCCCTATTGGTAGCTCGGAGCCAGTGGTGGGAATTATACATTTTCATGTCAGGTGCCAGCCTCTCCATAGGATGACCACTGTCAGCTACCCACACGAGGTACTCGATTTAACACCAGGTCAGTGTTGGTGAGCTAAGATGACCCTCGTCTGGGCATGTGTGGTGCTGGCCTCACAACTCTACCGTGTGCTCTTCCGGCATAAAGAGGTGCTCACTAACGGCAATTTGCCTATACAGTTTGCACATCTCTGAAGCTACACATGCTTGCCACTGCCAGTGTGCGTGCTCCCACAAATGTGTCCTCTTGCTGCCCACCTACATGAATCCGTGGTGCTTGTGTGCAGGACAGCCATGTGGCGACCCCCCCGTATTCCCGTCGGCACGTCTGGATGAGGAGGAGATGGGGCAGAGGGAGAAGGGGGGGGCGCAGCCAGAGCTCCACTACATCTGCCAGGACGGTCATATCATGGCTGGCGGAGCTCGCTCCTTCTCTCTGGCGTGCGATCCCCAGTGCGGGCAGTGGCAGGGAGCCGTGCGGCCCTGCGTGCCCGGTAGGCATGCATGCCATCCAGTCTTCACCACAGTTGTCGCTTTACCTACAGCACCTACAGCAACCACAACAACCACCTCTGATTAGCACGGTTCGCTCCGTACGGTGTGAAAGAAGTTCAACATACATACAATCACAGACACAACCTTTGAATACATTTCTGCCATGCTTTGAACCACCATATGTGAAACTATAGTCTCCATATTTGTACGAATAGCTGCTATCTTTGAGACAAAAATATTGAATATTTAAACTCAGATCTGCCATATTTGTGCTGACAGACATAATTAACATATTTGAAATGCCAATAGAGTTATACTGTCCTAAATACATCCAGGAAAGTTCGATTCTTAAAATATGTATTCTTTATACAGGACAAAATTATTGTATAAGCATCTAACTGACTGTATTTTGAAGAATCTGGGAAAAACGTTAATGTTTTTTCCATTCAGATTTCCCATAAATAGCACTACTGAAATACTATACACTGTAGATTGACTCATCAAATATATATATCCTTCATATTGTTTAAGCATCTGTCATATTGGAACCTCCAGGTTGTACTCTCTTCTGCTGTACAGACAAGTGATTAGCTAACTCAGCAAATGCATGGGGATTAATTCCAGATACTCCAATGTCCTTGCAATACAAAACGTTAATTAGGTAATTGACCCAACATCCATATGTAGGATCCATCTGCAAAAAGACACAGATTCATTGAGGCTTTCTTGAATAAAGGACTTATAAACTTCAGTGCTGCAGGTAGAATATTCAATACAACAATTAGCAGGTTGTGAATTTAAACCCAGGAATTCACTAATCAGGGACTGACTCTGTATATCATATCTCCAGAAATTATTTTTTTTAAATATCCATTATTTGAGTGTCAACGGTGGTTGTCTAATAAAGACACTGGTCACCACCACATAAATATGGCCTGTACATACTGTATCTAGCTCTGGGACTCCAGTTGAGAAAAGGACACCCAATGCTTATATGAGATGGGACACATGCTGAAATCGACAAAAAATATATAGATTTTGTATTTGCACGTGTAATTGAATTGATTGCTTAAAAAATGTTTTTGATATACATTAGTCTGTGGCCCATATTTTTTGGAAATCTTCCACCCATAACATCAGGCTATCCAATGGCATTGGTTTATGAGACCAATAATTACTGATAAGTCGTCTCAGCGAAGGGAAAACTTGTGCAAGCTCTCTTTAAAATATTATTATAAATATCGCGCACGTCTTTGTGGCAGCTGGTCACGGCCGCATGCACATGACGCTTCTCGCACCTACCCTCCAAGCCACCAATTCATTAGAGCTGAGCTTGAAGCAGCTCACAGTCGAGTGCCAGGCCCGAGCGCTGTCATAAGGGCCTCAGGGTTCAGCGACACCGCGCTTATTAAACACGGCACAGAGAAGCTTCACGGGCTTTTGTGTGACAACGGAGGCTTCTGGTCACTTGACTTAGCCAAATGACCTAGTTTATGGAAAAGTGATCGACATGGGCCGATGTATGAACATATGCCATACCAGCGCTTGTCAGAACACCAAACATATTTACCGACACTTTTCAGAGTAGTTTAAACCCAAATGGCAGTAGTATTTTGAGGGGAATTTGCAGTTAACATGGACTGCAGGGCGAATGTTTTTTTATTATTATCAGGACTTGTAAATTTCCATTACGACGACTGGGCATAGACCAATACTACAATGAATGTTGGTGGGGTTATTTTGGTGTCAACCCAAGACAGTGTTAACCCTAGAAGATGTAGGTGGGAAACTCAACATACGTATCCTGTAGTCATTTAAAATCAACGTTATATATACACATCAAAAGGTGGTTGTTCATCACGATTGGCTTCCATGAATCAGAGGTGCAGATTCCACAATATTCTGGTCGGGGGAAATCTATCCATCGATGGACCATTGTTTGACTTCCCATAAAAATCTACTTATTTTACTGACTTGAAAAGAATAATGAGCTGAGTTTATTTAGTCGACTACCAGCTGGAATTTAGAAACACAATGTGGCTGCTTTAATATGAATGATGATGTATTTGATCACCGCAGATAAACATAGCAATCTGTGCAGATAAGTCACCAGCCTACTCGCTGTATTATCGACTGGCCACTTTGTAGACCTGAAGTCATACATCAATATGGAAAATATACCTACATCGTGTACTACCATTTACTCACCGACTCCGCCCTGTGCATTTCGAATCCTATGCATGCAATAGTTTATGTGTGTGTGATCCAACAATACCACAAATGCTCATAGTACATTTAGAGCTCTTAGAATTTTAACTAGATGTGCATTGGCACTATTCCTATACCGAGCTTTGGTTTGACTAAATGATCGTGCATTTTCTGAACGACATGATTCAGTTGGGTCTTCAAATAATAAACAATGCTTTCGTGTATTTATAAAGCATCAAGTAGCTGTATTAAATTGTAAAGAGGTTCAGTGTCACTTGGGGACATTTTTAAAAACCAATGATGACGATTCCTGGACAAAAGAGCCTTATTGCCACAATTGGACATTGGCTTTTGAATTAGAAGGCTTCTACAACGGCGGTTGTGCAATGGATAGGCTGGCTCCCACAATGGGAATGTGGAATTTCCACTGCTGACTTCGGGCTGCCCCAGTTGCTCACATGAGCCAGGGCCCACCGTGACTTTACTTGACTTATCTAAGCAGAGGGTCCTTGTTATGGCGCGGTAGCTGATTCATTGGCCATTTTATTACAATTGCGCTCTGTACAGTGTTGTCCAGTAACTCACAGAATCACTTTAATCATATTAATCTCATATTACTAACGAGCATTCCAATTTGTGACCGAGTGGGGTAGGAAAGCCCTACTCACAATTAAAAATGTAAAGTTCAGTTTAAGTTTCGAGTTCAAATGCAGGTCATGGGGTTGATTAATTGAGTCTGACTTTGTGGGTCATCCTATGGGAAGGTTGATCCCTGCCACGGCAATGTAAACACACCAAAGTGCTGGATTTCAGGCATGCACCACCAAGCTCAGATGATGGAAAATGACAATACGTTTTAAGTACAGTACATTGCTTAGTCAGACCACAATTTCTATAAAAAGTTGGATAATGCTAAACTCAACCGCTATTCATATTTCAACATTTACAGCGAAAATTGGCAATATATCCCAATTTCGCCTGAGCACGTAGGGACATTGTAGCGTTGTTGTATTTGCTACCACAGCATGTTTCACCTGGTTGGTTACTCCGCGCCTTCCTTAAACAAGGCTTCACGCTCAAATGTGAAAGACAAATCAGTGGCCTTCACTGACATTGGGGCACAGCATTGATGCGACATATGTCACATGCGTCATCGTGCCTTTGGCAACTGCTGCACAGCAAAATTACAGTGTTCAGTCCCAAAACTGCTCTTCGCATTCGTGTCCTAAGTAATAATATGTGCCCTTTATCTTTAGAGCTGGAAATTAATAAAGCAACTTTAAAATAACATCCTGCCTTCTGTATATTGTTGCATGTGGAGCATGATAAGAATTACATGTCAGGGCAAGGTAATCAGCTTGGAAGCTCGGCTAGATTGTGGCGTGAAAACATTGTCGTGATGTGTGAAGAGAAGTTTATCCATGGTGGAGGCACACATGCAGGGTGGAGGAGGGTGATGTTGCTGAGACAGGCGTTAGACTGGCAATTAGTGGTCGAAAGACAAGGAAAAGTTATATAAGAGCAGCGCTGTTCCCTGGCCCAGTGGCGGAGGTGCGAACTGATAAGGATTCAGCATACAAATCTCCCATGTGCAATGACCTAGGAGGTCGTGTCAATACTTTGGCATTGTCTACACTGGACATTAAATTGCTAACGTTGATTCCGATGTATCTACTGTAGTTATATCATTCCACATTGAAATCAATTGCTGCACAACGTCAAAATATAGGTGAGCATCTTGCGCACCTTATAGCTCCATGTGCTCGTGATTCATAAACCACGTGGCTGCATTATGGGCGTGCATCATGGTCATGCCTTTTCAACAAACTGTGCAGTTTCATGCAATTTGTACACTAACGCTTCCAAAATACTACTTGTGCCAAAAACAGCACAGTCCAATGTGTGTCCGGTTTTATCTGCCCGCAACAGAACACGTTGCCATCCACCTTGACTACAACGTCGAGGAGGTGGGCGTCACGGACTGGGCTGATCAACTCGAGGCAACGCATGGATCCCAGAGTCCAACTCCTGCAGAAGGACTGGGCCCACTCAATCCGCTGCATGAGACACGTGCGGCCGAAAGGGAAGTTTCGTTCGTTGCTGCCTCCAATGAATCGGAGCACGGTCACTTAGTGGAGCTTCTACAGGAAAATATGGAATATGATAAGCAAGAGGAGGAGGGGGAGCAGAAAGAGGAAGGAAGCAGACGCCCTCCTGACTTCTCATTGGTCACCAACAGTGTTGGCATCAAAACTGGCTCACGAGGTCTCAGCACCAAGGTTTGGGAGAACAGGAGGGTCACGGTGACTGAAGAAATGCCCATAAATGTCCCTTGGCTACGTGGGGAGAGACTGCCATCTGGAACGTCCGAGGAACGAGATATAGGAACGGACGTGGTCCCAACGTACGAATCTTCACCGAATGCAACACAAGTTCATTCCCATCCCTACGTCGCAGAAGTCTCGTCCGCAATGCCCGTCACGCAAGACCTCCGTTCCGACCTCGTGGGTTTCCCCATCGCCTCCACGAATGCGGCGAACCTCCACCCGGCGCCGACCGATTTCACAGCGCGCAGCGGCAACCCGCCGGCTTCCCTGTCGCCTTCGCCACCGCCGCGCACAACGGCGCCGCGGCGGGGCAGCACGGTGGCATTGCCCGAAGGCGGCACGCGGTCCACAACGTCCGCCCTCGCTACCGAGAGCGAGGGTGGACGCCGGGCAAAGATGAACCCGGTGGGGAGCGGGTGGCCCGGCCAGGGGATCCCGTGGCCCTCGGCGGAGCCCGTGATCGAGGCGCACACCGTCCAGGCGGGTGAGAGCGGCCGTGCATTGCAGACGACACCGCCGCCACCGCAGGCCTGCGTGGGGCCGCTGTGCGCGCTTGGCGGCCAGCAGCAGCAGCGCACGCTGGTGGTGGCGGCCGGGGCCGTGGTCGCCGTGTGCGCACTCGTGGCTCTGGTCGTGCTCGGGCTGTGGTGCCTCCGGAAGAGACAGCGCTCGGCCGAGTGTCAGCTCAACGGCGGCAAGGGGAAGGCGGCGCAGAGCGAGAGCGTGGAGATGCAGCGGACTGTGTGAACGAGCACAAACCCTGGGTCAACATAGAACGTTGGGCCGACGTTGGACCGACATTCGTCCAATGGTTTCGACCAGATGCCAACATTGGCCCAACGTTGACATGTTTGCCGGGACGGCCCTGTGTCCGGAGTGCAGTGGTATCACAGCTTTGATTGTTCTCTTCGGCGTATTCCCTGGATGTTTAAAGGAATTGATGTTTTAATAGCTCGGAGTGCCCAACGACTGTGTGCATGTAGTTACCAACCACATGGCACAGAATGTGGTGATGGCAGCTGAGTTATTCTCTGTTCGCTGGACTGTGACCATGTTGATGTTCACAAAGCATGACTTACTGGGTTTCTGTTTACTCGGTGAAACCACGACGCTTATTTAAATCAACATGATATTTGGATAAGTTGAGTAACTTTCTTTTCCCAAAACTCTTTAACAGCCACTGTGATCGATTCATTATCATTTTTACAGTCGCGATTAATGCAGTAGATAAGCATCGTGATTGGATGGACTCTTTCTTGCCCAACTAATTTTGACTTCAAACATATTCACTGTATTTTGAATAGCTATGTAAACGACGTGGAGCTTTTGAGCCTGCTTACAAAAATAATAAGATTTTTGGAAATTCTTCTTGACTCAATGTTTATAAAATCTTATTTTCTGAACAAATTCCTATCCAATGACAACATAGTTAATTGGAAACCCAGTTTGTGATGTCATGATCGTAAATGCCTACGTCATGTGAATAGATGCACTATTCCGGTGCCCGATATGCTTTGTTTCTTCATGTTTCACATCAAGGTTGCAGAATGACATTTTATTGTTTTATTTTATTTATATTTTCAACACCCAACAACCAGTACAGAAACACAAAGCGCCGGGGTGCACACCTTCCCAAGTGGCACACAAAACCGAATGTGTACGTTTTTTCATACATACTGCTGAGGCCAGTGTTTCCACGCACCTAAGGAGAGAGAGCTTGACAGTCGCCCAACCATTGAGGTCGCTCCTAAAGGGTGGGTGAAAACTCAGGGCGAGACGAACCCCGGCGACCCGAGGTCGATCCCCGCTCACGGCCACCAACACCGGTCACGATTATCTGAACCGGTCCTGGGCCTCCCCTAGGTTGCTATGTGGAAACATCGCCACGAGGGAGACAAAGGTGGCCGGGCGTGGTGCTGGCCACCCACCCCCTCGTGTGCTGTCCCGGCCTTCATAGGTGCTTGCTAACAGCACTTGCCCCAAAAGTCTGTTAAAGCTATACTGGGGATTTATGTTTTGGAGTGGTGAGAGAGTTACCTTAGCAAAGTGGTTCAACTGTACTTAATAAATCTCATAAATCAGTAATCAATAATTTCATTACTAATTATTCTATGGGTATGAAAGTAATATGTATATTTCTAAACGTTTACTTGCGTTATCTGATTACTTTCATGATAACTTCAAACCAATCTCCGAAACAGCAGTGCTGTATTATTGTTGGCTTTGTCTTATAGCTCAAACTATGAGCACAATCATTTTCTATTCTCTTGAATATTGAAAACATTTACATCTGAAAACAGGTATAACATAAATCAACACGTGTATATTAACTAATGATAATATAGTCAAATACAGAAAGCAGAATAATAATACAGGATAACAAGTACTTAGATTTTGATTTAAAGCTTTCGTGACTGCAGGGATTAATATTCTTGGTTCTTTCGGTAAAGTCACGTCGAAGGGAAATAAGTACTTAGATATTCGCACCTGATTACATTATCACGTGACATGCAATTAATTATTCCCTGTCACCGCATTTGTGTCTGCATTGGGAGACCACAAGCTAGATAAATAAAAACAAAACGTTCCCATGCCCATATGAACATTGAGTGTTATACAGGTAGGAACAATAGTTCCACACTGCCCACCAGGGTGTATTTGTCTGTCTGTCGTGCATAGCCACGCCCTCGATTTGTATTTCATAGAGCGCTTCGGGCGGGCTCAGCACCACGTGACGCGCCGCCCCACGCAGCTTGCGCCACGTGACACGGATCACACGAATGCGCTGTCCAACCAAGTTCCTACCTGCCCACTCCAAAGGAACGTGTTAATTCCCTCATTTGTTATGCCTCACACTGTAGTTTAAATTCCGCATGCCTATGGCAGGGGTCAGTATTTCCTGAGGATGACCGCTGCTGACTACTCACGAAGTGGTACCCGTTTTATGCATCATGCGGTTCTGATTACTAATTAGAATCCAACTAATGGACCTAGATTTATAGAATGGTGGAAAAATGTTGACTCGGTAATTTCCTCCTGATTGAGAATTCCGAACGTTTCACAACACCATCTGATGAAAGGGAGCAATGGCCGATAACTGAAACGGACCAGTTGGTCTGACAGCGCCACCCAGCAGAATTATAAACAAATTATACCTATTTTCCACCTGTGCTAAAACATATCAACCCCGCCCCTGGCCCTGCTTGGCCTTGAGCCAGATTCATATATCTTGTGAGGCCAGAGTTTCATGCTTTGGTCCTATAAACTACCTGAGGGCGAGACGACCCTGCCTTTCGCGAGTCCCAGGCACAGCTGGCCCGGCTGTCAATACCTGGGCCCCTCCGAGGGTTACGCGGTCTTCTCACTGCCTTGTGAGTGTCTTGGGAGAGGTTTTGTGACGCACAGTAGCACATTCCCGGCAGCCCCTGCAGCCAAACTGGTACCAAACGTCGTGCTACGCACTCCTTTGGACCTCACCAACAAGGCTGAGGGGGGGGGGATCCTGACGCATGGGCAACCCATGATTTCTAGAGTAACCTGCCTGGGCTTTGCGCCAACAAGAGGTGCAAAAATGGGGAGAGGACACTCCTCGGCCACCTAATCGTGGCCAAAAAACACGGATGGCAGCAGTCACGGGTTATAAGCTCATTTTGGATTGGCGTAAAAAATAGCCGCCACGGGTTGCAATCGTCGGTGGGAGGGGTCATTGCACCCCAATGGATAGCTACCGCACACCTCAAGCTGGGCAGCCCCTGGCCAATAAGGTGCTTTCCTGCCACGGCTCACCTGCTCCAATGGGTGCTTGGAGCTTATGGTTCATCACCAGACGAGTGGACTGCAACACCTGAAACAGACAAAAGCAAAACAAAAGGAAAGAAGGTACCAGCCCTTCATTTTGCAAGCTGGAATGTACGTACAATGTGTTCTGGACTCTCCGAAAATTTATTGCAAATTGAGGACATCTGCAAGACTGCAGTTATCGACAGGGAGCTGGCGAGACTCCATGTGGATATTGCAGCACTGCAGGAGACTCGGCTTGCTGGCAGTGGCTCACTACGAGAGAGTGACTACACTTTCTACTGGCAAGGCAAACAGCAGAATGAACCAAGGCAACACGGTGTTGGGTTTGCCGTCAAAAATACATTCCTTGGCATGATAGAATCACCAACCGCAGGCTCTGAGCAGATTCTGCTCATGAGACTGCTCACTGCGTCTGGCCATGTAAACATCCTGAGTGTCTACGCCCCAACACTCTACTCACCTGCGGAGATTCATGACCAGTTCTATGAAGAGCATCACAATATTATTCGCAAAATCCCGAGCTCTTGAGTACATGTTTCTGTTGGGAGACTTCAATGCAAGAGTTGGGGTTGACCACAATGCGTGGCCCACACGCCTGGGCTATCATGGCGTCGGAAAAATGAATGCCAGCGGCCAAAGACTACTGAAGCTCTGCTCATACCACAATCTCTGTATCACAAACTCATTCTTTCACACAAAACCTTGCCATAAAGTGTCATGGAGACATCCAAGATCTCTTAATTGGCACCAACTGGACCACGTCATAACCCGACGAGCCCTCCTCAACTAAGTACTCATCACATGCAGCTACAACAGTGCAGTCTGTGACACCGATCACTCACTGGTATCCAGAAAGGTCAGACTACGCCCCAAAAAGATACACCGCCTCAAACAAAAGCGTATCAACTCTGCCAAGACCTCCCTCCCAGAGCTCGCTCAATCATTCCAGCACAGCCTTGAGCAGCCTCTACACGACACACCAGATGGAAGCATGGAGACAAAGTGGGCGCACATCAGAGACGTCATCTTCAATGCAGCCATCAATACCTTTGGCAAGCAGACAAGGCAGAACACAGACTGGTTTGAGGAACACCTGGGTATATTGGAACCCATCCTCCAAGCCAAGCGCATGGCGCTCCTGAAGTACAAGCAAGTCCCAAGTACAGGATCATTAAGGGCTCTGAAAGCTGCCCGCAGTGCAGTTCAAACGACTGCCAGATGCTGTGCCAACAACTACTGGCTGAACCTGAGCAGTAGAATCCAACTCGCCTCTGACACTGGTAATATCCGTACATTGTATGAAGGCATCAAGGCAGCCTTTGGTCCAAACATCAGGAGCACTACCCCCCTGAAATTCAGCACAGGGGCCATCATCACTGATAAACAAGAGCAAATGGCCAGGGAGGTAGAACACTACTCAGAGCTCTACTCACGAGACAATAGTGTGTCAGAAGCTGCCCTTGCTGCACACTTCGGTAAGAATTCAGACGAAAACGAACAATCATCGGCATGTGCATTAAGCCCACCGTTGCATAAATCAAAAGATAACGGTTGCTTTAACAAGTAGTGCTGCTTCGAAGAGTCACATAGCTAACAAATCTTCACATTAGGATTAGAAACTCTCCATGTTAGGCTTTATGCATGGTGTATTTGTATATTTCACTGGCAATGTTCTAATACTTAAATACGTAACATAATTATAGTTGGTGGAACTGTTGTCTAAATGTAGGCTTCATTATAACATCTTGTAACTCATAATGTGATCTTTTTTCAAATATTATAGATTAGCTATAATACTAAAAGAGGCAAAGGGATATCAGTCAAAATAATCTCCCGCATTTGTTATGCATTGTTTGCATAGATCTCTTGTCACGTCAAAAAAGGTTTAAAACATAATAGCATTTTATTTAGACGTGTTTATACAGTGATACCTTAGTTGGTTTTGTAGATGTAGGAAATCACTATTTAAAGAAGTCATTGCTTTTTCCCCAAATCAAAATGTCCATTGGCAGTTTTGTTTGAGGGGACATTTGCTCCATAGCACAATCTTTGTGGGCTTTTTCAACAAAGTGGTGGTCATATTGTCGACCCTGGACGGATGATGGGCTGAGGCAGCCCCAATCAGCATTAAAACACAGAGTTTCCGACTGTGAGTGAAGCCCTCTAATCCAAAGGTCTAGGTACATCCCTCGCAATTTCTTGCTCAGGCCACTGTTGGCACAAGGGCCCCAACGAGAGGTAGCTCTGGAGAGCCTCTCTGAAGATAATTTTCGCCCACTCTTCCACACTGGCCAGACGTCTTAGAAGCGGTGGGAGTACCCACATTTTGCCTCACCACATGCAATATGCTTACTGTATTTACTTACCGTAGTGCTCCCATTTATACCGCTGGGTAAACAGAGGCGGGGATTTAAGAAACGTGCCCCATTTTAAAATCCTTTATATTAAGTTCGCTTGCTTGCCTGCTTGCGCGCTTACGACCGTGCAAATCTTTCGGTCGTTTTTTAACCCACTTCCCGTGATCCAATCGAGCTGACATTTTGCACACAGACTTGTTGTGCGTGACAATTTCTTTTCGTGAAATTTTTTTTCCAAAATGTGACACTTTTTAGGTACATTTTTTATTTATTTAATTACCAATTGCTTAATGGTGGCAGGCAATCATCTGACCCATAGGTGGCAGCCATCTCAAGCCAGAGGACGAGAGGACTCGAGCCGCCCGTTTCAAAGACCAATGTGGGCTGGGTTGTGGCCCATTGAACACGCATATAAAGGATTTATAGTGAAAAACTTTGTTTTTACGGGTTAATTTTTTTCCACTGATGCACTGGGATCTCAAATCGGCGACCTCAATGTCAAAGGTCGTGTCATTTTGTATGTTGAACTTCTTTTCGCACTGTGTATAGCCAGCCAACCGTGCTAATCGGAGGTGCGGGGAAGGAAAACACCGAAAGTAAAAAGCAGTTTTGCACACATTTCTGTTGGAAGTGGGCATTGTGGATAACAAGCTCATAGGCTGATAGAATCATTATATTTCGAAGATTAATCACTTTACATGAACATGTTTTATTCCGTATTTCCATTATGGCTTCCAATTATAAGGCGTGCAGCCAAATGAACTGGAGAGTGGATGACATGTGCTTGCCAAATCAGTCGAACTTACTTTGAATAGAACTGCTCTCAAATTTCCATAACAGCCCACTTAATGGGTTTGGCGAACGCATGTCATTAAGAACACGTCCTCGCGAGGGGCACGCGTATAATTGCAGAGGGTATACTGTGACATTCTCGAGAGGGGCATGATTCTTTTAATTTATAATTTTGGGGTTTTTCCAATTTTCCTTCTGTGACTTTGTTTTGCTGCTGCTCAATGAAGAATCAAGGTCCTATGACTAGGAACCATCTTATATCACAGTACATGCAGTACATGGAATTGTAAGGGACACCTTTGCAGACAAACTTTGCATCGTTTCCCAAAATATATCTATATATGTTGGGACATATACATTTTTACACACTCCACGATGAACACCGCTTTGTAACAGAACAAAACACGATATAATTGGCTGTTCCAGGCAATGGCCTAACGCAATAGGAAATGTGAGTCTTGTAATATGTATTTTTGGTTATTAATGTATTTGACAAAGTTAGTGAGTTTTAAATTGTATTATTTTGTTCTTGTACACTAGTGTCAATGCAGTTTGACTCGTTTTGACCCTCAGAGCTGGGCATGCGCAAATTAGAACACAAGCATAAATGAGGTGTATTGACTGAAGATAAGTTTGGCTTGAGCAGGATACATCACGAGATGGGATGATAACTGATGTACAAGACTAGCAACAGGTTGCTAGCCGAAGGAAATAACACACCCAAAAGGACAACCGCCACAGATATGGAGCGATGAGATCAGGTCACGTACAGAAGTGAGATAGATTGTGGAATCGCAAGACCATGAATGGTGAAGTTTTGGTGATCATCCAGCAGTGGATAGATCATGATGAATAAGACAGTGTTTGTTGATGGTGACAGTTTTGAGCTATTGGCCTATGATTTTAAATCACTGCCGTCGACGCCCCTTACGTTCAACATGAAATACAACATGACCAAACATGTTCACTCTCATTTTATTACACTTAAAAAAAGACAAAACACATTTCTTTGCATGCAAAATAATAACGAAACACGCACAAAAGTAACGCCAGAGGCAGTCTCTGGATTAGCAGATGTAAAAACCGTGCAGCGAATATCCTCAAGGCACCAGGACTGGGGATCATGGGGAAGCATGGGGGAAAGGCAGGCACTTTATTCATACGATTTGGCATTTACTGGCGTAAGAAAATGAGTACAATGAAAAAAAATGGAGCACGGATTCCACGTGCTCGGACAGAGCAAACCTGTACTCACCACAAAGCATACAAAGGCGCAGGCTGCCAACCGGCTGGGTTTTGCGCAAACGACATGGCACAGTGTAGTGATATACGTTTCTCAGTATTGCGTATAACTCATCTATACAAGTGAAAGTCTTTCCTGGGCTGTTAATAATAATCCTCAAAGTAGAAAGTCTGCCATCCTTAACCTGACCTTTTCTCAATTTATACATAACCCTGCAGTCTGGCCATAAAACCTAACACTTTCTTTTCCCGCATAATAAAACTACCTGCAATTCCGACACAAATTTAAATCTTACCAATCAGCATGCTTACAGTATAACTGTCGCCGAATATGTGGTATTGTTCTACTAGCCGATTCCAAGAGGAACACGTCAATTCATGGACCGCGTTTCACAAAGTATAATGCGCGTGCAAATGACAACGCTAACTCAGCCGCTAGCGAGAAGTCTCCTTTCATATGCTTAAAATCTATCACTGCCCCGGGATGGTGGGGTGGGAAAAATGATTCATTTGAAGCAGCAGCTACAACTAGAATCTCCATTATTTCCATTAAAGCATCGCAATTAACAGCAGTGTGACCAGGTAATGAGCCAGCATTGTTAAAGAACTTACAAACATGTGATGGATACATGCCAATAAAACAAAAATCACACTTTTTTTTTAAAGCAATGAACTGGCATTGCTAATGTAAATATTAGCAATTTCTGAGTTAAATATGTTGAAGTTCATTTTGTATTTTTGCTTGTGTTTTGTTTAACAATTTTAAAGCAGAGAACAATACTGAATTTGCGCCAATAGTGTTTGCTGATACGGAGGAGCTTAATAAATGGTGCTGTAGTCGTGACGGTTGTATAGTCAGTGTTGCTCCGTCTTTTCACAATACTTTAACATGATGAGATTGCATGAAACACCCAAAACTTGAAGAGTCTTGAGCACGATCATGAACAGCGATGCATGTAGCAGATTCCCCCCTCCAGTGATTTGATGAAATCGTAATGCCTCTGGATCCGGATTTCATTCTTAATTTTTCTCCCGTCTTGTTTGCACTGTTTCTGTTATTTTCCTGTGTATTTTTGCTGTGTCCATATAATTAGGCGAAATACACCATTAGTAGTATATCATTTCCAAGCACAAATTGACATATTGTGCATGTAAGAACAGATTTGAATCGATGAGTCGATATATCGTTACACACATTCTCATCGCACAGTGATGGGTGTATAATTATACATACATATAAAAAACGCGAACATTAGGTTGGATTAAAACCTAAACAAGCATTGTTTTGGAGCATACAGGTCACACATTAAAAATAAGTCACATTTCAATCTGTATATTCACACGCAAATATATTTTAGTCTTCCATAATAGTTTTTTGTTGTTACATCGCGTAAATATAAATGTGTCATTAAACCCGCCACCACCCGACACAGCCAATTATTAAGGTTTGTCAAGATCTGTACTAGTAATGAATTGGAATGTTCTGTTTACATGACAAACCCTAATAATTGCCTGTGTCTGGAGGTGGTGGGTTTAACGACACATTTATATTTACGCGAACTAACCCAAAAAAAACTGTATTATGGATGAAATTGATTGTGAAAGCCTAGTGTTAAACTGATATTTGAGTCCATCTACCTACACCCACGAGTCCAAGACAGTGAAAGGAGGTCCACAATTTGTGCATTAAAACAAATGCTGATGGTTAATACAAGTCTGAAAAGCCAATTTATTGAAAGACTAAACACATTTTTTGTGGGAGGTGATACAGAATTAATGGTGATGAATGGCTATTTATAAGGTTGGAGTTACTGTTATGATTTTTTTAAATTAAATCCTAGAAACACGAAATTTATTCGGTTATGGAAAAAACACCTTCGAGTGATATGATCACCAAACCAAACTTGAGCTGGCTTTCTTTTTCTGGACGTTGCATCATGATGCACATCCCCAAGTATCCCACGAGAGTCATAATAATGAGAAATATGCGGTTTGGAATTCTCACAGTCATCAGACCGTAAAGTCGGGTCATGGAACGTTCCTAGGAGATGTCACGTAACTATTTCTCGAGTAACCTCAAGAGGTATCTCTCACTTGGCACTAGACTGTGGAGAATGTGTGTTGCATGTCAATCATCCAAAACGTTCTGAGAGCAGGAAAATCCAATTTAATGTCAAACCTAAATTTAATGACTAATTTTGTGCAGTCGTTGGCGACTATACGGTCCCTCTTCTTGAGAATGTTATGACTGCGCCCAGCTTAGAACGAGGGATCTCGCCGGTGCTTGAGTCCAGGAAAAAACATTTTGGGGCATTCCTGAGTGATATTTTGGTGGAGAGAAGAACAGAAACTGAATACTCCACATTTTGTCCAGAAGTTTACAAATCCATGGAAACAAGCCAACACAGTTATCGTAAACAATATGGCTTACAGGGTCATCATTTGAAAATGTCAGAGGCACTAAAATAAATGACTGATCAATGCAGCACCAGGTAAGTATAAATGTATAAAAATATAAAGTGTAATTTGAAGGTCACAGCTTAAAGTCTAAATGCGAAAACACTTATTTTGTCATTCATTTAGTTTTTTAAGTCTCCTGTATTTTTGCCATATGAAGCTCTACAGCACTTGGGGTCAAAAAGGAAAAAAAAATCATACAAGGAAATGTATATTATCACTTTGATGAAAGAACACACCACATAGGTTACAAGTGAATTATGTAAATCTATAGAGAATGCTCACAAAGGTTATGTGGTACCATGAATGAAATGCCACATTTGAACAAAAAATCTACCAGATCTCATAACAAAAACCCCTAAATATATCACATGAACTGCACACAATCGTTAAAGTGTGATATCTGTATTATTTTTTTGGCATAATCTTTTTATGTATTAGCTGGACAGTCAAAGAAACATGTACATTTAAAACCTTGAATCACAAGCACAAAAATGTGCCTTTCATTGCCACTGCCCGACATATGAATGAACATGGCTTCATGTCGCTTCAACAAGTTTGGAAAGGCAAATAACAGCCTGGCCATTTGTTTATTATCTTGCTCAGTGGTGCTGGCTTAGAGTGTTCGACTCACAATCAGAATTTAAAAACATTTTTAATCCGTTCCACGAAAACGACTGTTAAACGAAATAACTGTGTATCGAATATATACTTACAAACGCTCGAATTGGCCGAAATTGGCACCCACGTGCATCGCATGAACGTACCGTTCATCAAAATGTTAACGTTAGTCGAAACCATGGGGTTCCATGGGAAGCGAAACGTTAACCGAAAAACCGTTCACCGATGTCACTGTTAACTGAGGGACTATTGCATGGGAATGTGGAAATGAAGAATTTCCACCATTGTCTCAAGATCAACAATAGAGAGCAGTACCTTCCCACTGCTCTCAATACAAATGGTTGTGGCGTACCGACTGTGTCGCTAATGATTGATGGCTCCGACAGGTGGCTAAATCTTGGGCTAAGCAGCAATATACAATGAGCATCACTCGCAACAACAGTTGGGTGCACCCTTCTCGACTGGACATGAGGCCATGCTACATTCGTGCGTGTCCGTCAGGTGTAGGTCTCCCGGTGGCCCACGTCTCCCCGCTCACGCAAGCCCTGCAACCACTTATCAGAAAAGAAGCCCTCTTCGTAGTCGCCCTCTCCCTCAAACTCGGCGTCGGAAACACCGTCTTTTTCTTCTCCTTGGGACGCTGCCCCCGCTACCCCATCCTCTATTTCCATCTGGGCAGCAGAGGTGCGAGGAAACGGGCCCCAATCAGTTGTGACAGAAAAAAAATGACACACACGGGAAGACGGACGTGCAAACGCTGGCGCAAGTCGCTTGCCACTGGTGGATGATAAACACGTGCCCACTGCACAGCCTCTGAAAAGTCGTAAGCAGTGTTGCCAGAGCTGACGTTTTACCGCAGTATTTAGAGATTTCACTGTGTTCCCCTGCTACTGCTGCGGTCCGGAACGTCCACCGCTTAAATGTTTACATTGCCTACTCTGCACCACTCCCTCCCTCGTTCAGTGCTACAATAGCCTGCCTCCGAATTCAAATGTTTTTTATGCAATTCTAAATAAACTTCATCATCATCTTCCTTTTTGTTAAATATTGGCCAATACTTTTTATTCATCTACCGTTTTCACAAATTGTTTTCCCAATTCCTGCAGTCTTGAGATGAAGTGACATTTAGTTGTTTTATTAACTGAAATCTTTTTTAAATACATATATGTTGAAATTAATGTGTGTCACTCAGCTTATAACAAATCATTTGCAAAACTGATAAATGAATCGGTGACTGTGTGAGCAAAATAACAAGAACTTTTAAAACCAACATATATCCTAAAAAAGGGCCTGAGGACTCATGACTTGTCTCTTGTAATGTGATTTTTAAAAGAAGAGATAATTTGAGCAACATTAAACTTTTTTTTTCCATTGGCCTCGAGATTCCCCTCCTCCTCCTCCCCACCAGATCTGGCAACAACTGATCGCAAAGTGAAAGGTGCATTCCATACATGGTGCTTGCAGAGTGGGCAGCTGCGTGGTGTAGGAACAGCGAAATGAGGCAGAGTTCAGGCAGCTTTCATGCGATTATATTACACAGCTCTTCCAGAGAAGACAGTCAATAAGTGAACATGACAAATACCACAGGATAACATGAACAATGACAGGACAGCAGCTATGAAATGTAGGCTGAAAGTGTGCACCGCTTTTTGTCATTAACACTAATTTGCATATTATTAAAAGATCTATGGAAGGATAACTTTTGCACAGTGTCCTGAACATTTCTGTTTCTCAATTCTTATAAAGCATATCCCAAAATATTACCTTGCATATGTCTATTTTATACGGCAGTGATTATTAATGTGACATTTAGGCTGTACTACATTTTGGGGGAAAATCCTACATTATTTCACAAGCCCCACCCGAGTTTGTGTATTATATTAAAGTGACCAACTTAAAAGGTAAAAGTGTCAACTCTTTGGCAGCTGTAAAGTAATGCATCAACTGCATACTTGCTTTAGATTTAATTATGGATCATACATCTCACCGGCTGGCACTGCGGTTAGAGAGCTTGACACAATCGCAGGATCACGAGTTCAAATATCGCTTGGTGGTTGAGCCAACTTTTTACCCTTTCGGGATATGGTCATCTTATGCAAAGAATGGCTCCTGCCATTGGAATGTGGAGTTTTTAGTACTGGCTCAGGGTTTTTCGATAGAGATTAATGCAACAGCTCCATTGCTTGTTTGAAAAGTGACACTGACAATTTGGTACCGGATAGCTATGTGAAGCCTGGGCCTTTTCTTATTACAGAAAATCTGTACCTATTAATATCTGGGCCTCCATATAAACTGTTCAATCTTAATGCTATAGATTAGTGTCGTTATTTATTTCCTTAACTCTAAAGTATTATGAGATTTTGTTGAATTCATTTTGTAAAAAATCCATCTAAAAATATATCTGTATTTTCATATCAGTTTATGAACATAGCCATTAGTGTAAATACCAATACCTGTGTTATTCATTTCAATAACACTTAATCCTATGGCCTACCTGGAAATAAAACTTCGCGTAATTGAAATGGTAAAGGTTCGGTGGGCACGCACATGAATATAACTTTACATAAAAAATACTTTCACGTCTTAAAAAATTACAGCCAACATTCATAATGACCTATAAAAAATGTGTTTTCAAAACAAAAATGTAAGATTACACACCTTACAAGGAACTTTCGAATGATATTTCAGATAAAACAACCATTATGCTTAGAAATACAAAGACGTTCATTGCGGCTTTAATATGGAATGGGCTGTAACAGTCAAAAGTGTGTGTTCATGTATAGAAGCAGTTGATAATTTTTTGTTGAAAAAGCAATAAGCGAAAGCAGTTAGAGTGAAAGGTGACATCATTGCATGGTGTGCCCTGGACACAAGTATTTGCAGTTAGACTGGGAAGGAGTTGAGGATTTTTTTTTCTGTCACAAAGATTAGCTGCCCTGCCCTGCCACTGGAACATCGTCAATATATTCCACCACTTCTGCCTGAATGCAAAAGATTGGACAGCACAAGCAGAAACATATTGTGTGCATTAACATCACCGTATTTATTGCAAGCAAAAAAAACCAAGTGTGATTTGTATTAATGTTAGCTGAGCTGCCTGGATTGATGGCAGCCTGGTAATATCTCAGCTGATCAATCAATGCTTCATAGGAAGGCTTTTGTGAAAGGCACTTTATAATAACCAGCAGTGGTTGTCATCTTAGAGAGAGAATTGACCCTCCCACCATGGGAATGTGGAATTTCCGCTGCTGGATCAGGACTGACAACACATACAGTGTTATGTCAATGCTTGTCGAGCCTCGGTACACTTTGAATATGCCTTTCATTGCTATATACAGTCGCTAACAGAGATAATTTATAAACATAAATAAATCGGGCCATTATGACAATGCTATGCATTACCAATTTACAAAATAATTTCTTTATACGTAGCAAACACCCAATATATTAAACCTTAGTTTGTGAATGCACACATTCATATAGGCATTGTAACTCAGAAAACAGTGGCTCTATGGGTTAGTGTATTGGTGTGTGTGTGTTTGTGAGTGGGGAGCAGCTGTGCACTCTGTGTTCAATTACCAGACATGTTGCACATCATTTGTAATTTGTATTTAAACATGGACTGGGATTCTGCTATGCCAACCCATAATCATAATTGGCAGAGCTCTGTATCCGTATGTGTGTGTTGACCCCACTTTTTGCTGATTAACAGCCCATGCATTATGTCACTGTGTCGCTGGCAGCAGCTGTCCTCCAGCGGCAAAAGAAGGAAAAGCAGAGCGATGCTCACAATTAACAAAGCACCATGAAGCTTAAACATACCAAACAGAGACTGGGATCAATTGGCACGAATACCAACCACTCGAGCCTGCAAACTTTTGATACAAGGATCTGTGTTTCATTGGCTTGGAAGCATAGGAGAGAAGAGGTGCAGTTGCCTCCCAAATTTTAAACATGAGGAAGCCATCGACTGTGGCCCTTAAATGCACAGCCTTCATGGTTCCCTTAGAAACTTGACAGGGCCACCCCCAAGGCTCATTGCCCTCCATCTTCAAAATAGTTTCTACATGCCTGCTGTGCTGTGCCTGCCAATGGGGGCCACTGCTACTCAGAGGTCGCAACCGGGTACCCGATACCCGTACCCTACCTGATACCCGGCTACCCGTACCCGGCCGGGTACGGGTACCCGTTTGCGACCCTGGTGCGGCCGGGTACGGGTACGAGTAAGGAATCAAAACCCGTTTGCGACCTCTGCTGCTACTGTATAAGATCTCAATATATCACAATATCTGTGAGTCCTTTATTTTCATTGGGCTATCATTTGTGGCCAGGTCGCCTCTGAAAAATAGCTATATAGCTCAGTGGACCTTACCTGGTAAAATAAAAAAATAGTTGCACAGTCCAGTTTTACCCTTTAAATCTCTCCACATTTTAAATGAATGCAATTGTTCCGAATTATCATTTGTAAAACCCTGTAGTACATCGTCGTGTGAAGAGCAACATTTTTGCATTTTCTTGAATACCCTTTTGGCAAATAGGTGCATTGATAAGCATTCACACCTACCGTATACTTGGGAATTGTTCATATTTAACTAAAAGTATTTAAGCTGACTTTCTATTACCACGTAATTCAGGTAGATTGTCATGCTGGAATACCTTGCATGGCACATGCCTAGGATGACAATTAACTTGTTGCTAAAGTGGCGAGAGAATGGGGATACAAAAATCCACCCATAAGAGTTTTTTTGAGTTAGATCGCATACATATATAATTGTGTCATTAAACCTGCCACCACCCGACACAGCCAATTAGTAGGGTTTGTTACATAAACAGAACATGCCAATTCGTTTCAAATTGGCATGTTCTGTTTACATGGCGGGTTTACCGACATATTTATATATTTACGCGATCTAACCCAAAAAAAACTGTATCATGGATATTGGTCGCGAAAGCCTACGTGTTAAACGGACTAAAATCCACATGTGCCCTTACCTCGTCATCTGGCTGGAAGTGCTCCTGTACAAACCGGAAGAGGTCTGCCTGCAGTATCAGTTGGCTGTGGTATTTGAGTGCTTCCTGCATGCACACAAAAGACAAAGATGAAGATTCCCCAGACAGCCTTAACAAACTGATAAGCAAGCACCTGTGAAGGCCGGCAGAGCACAAGATGGGGTGGGTGGCCAGCACCATGTTGGCCGCCTTTGTCTCCCTAGTGATGATGTTTCCACCCTGCACCAGGTACTAATTTGAGGCTGAATCGACCTCGGGGAAGCCCATGACGGGTTCAGATAATCGTCACTAGTATTGGCCCTGAGCGGGAATGGAACTCGGGTCGCCGGGTTTGTACCACACACATATTAACAGATACCGGCATCTCCCATTTAGTCCTACAGGCCATACGGTGCAGTAATTTTAGTTTTCTATATCTCTCAATTTCAATGGATTCTCAAATTATCCTTGGCCAGTAATAATTCGTTTAACACAACACTTCAACGTTATCAAAATCAATTGAGTGTCCTTGTTGGCAAACATGTTCTGCAACTGCCAACAGTTGTGTTTGAGAGCATTTAATATTTCTTTGGTGTTCTTTTAATCTTACACTAATGTTACGTCCCATTTGTCCAATATAGCATCTGCCACATGAGCAATTAATCCGATACAGACCTTGTGTTGATAACTTAGGACATTTCATCTTTAGTACAAGATACTAGTTTTTTTATTTTGTGTACCATACTAAATCTTACTTTGATGTTTTGCTTTTGCAAAACTCGAGCTAATTTGTCAGTTACTCCTGCGATATATGGTATTTTTTATTGATTTAATAATCTGATCGCTTTCAGCAGTATTGCTGTTCGATCTTGGTTTGGCATTCAATGCTCTGTTGATTTGAGCATTATTGTAGCCATTCAATTGTAGCGCTAATTTAATCTCTCTCCTCAGATTTTCACCATCTGACACTCTTTTAGCCCAATTTATGAGCATCTTGATGAGAGAGGATTTCTGTGCGGGGTGATGATGGGAATCTGCATTCAGATAGGCATCAGTGTGCGTTCCCTTTCGGTAAACGCTGTGTTATTTTACCAGCAAAATATGTAGGAAAGGGAGTGTGTTATTCACCTCCATTTCAATAGTTAACTGGATGGCCGGGTTTTGTGACTTGAGATGATTTAGAAATTAATTTAGTGTATCTTTCCCATGTGGCCAGACAACCAAAGTGTCATCAACATATCTAAACCAAAAAGATGGTTTTAATGCTCTTGCTACAAAGTTTGCCATGTATAAATTCGCTCTAGCAGGAGATAAAGGAGAGCCCATTTCTGCTCTTTCCTTTTGTTTAAATAAATCACCTCTCCATACGAAATAAGTGTTATCTAGACAATGGTCAACTAGTTTTGGAATATCTTTTGGTAAACCTGTCTTATTTACTAGCGTATCAAGTAATTTAAGTGACTCGTTAACTGGAACCTTAGTGAATAAAGAAATTACATCAAAACTCACCAGAATATCATTAGGGTTAAGTTTAATATCTTTAATCACATTCACAAGATGTTCTGAATTTAGTTACATATTTTGCTCATTTATGTGGCAGAGCCAATTGTACTTACTAAGGGGTTGTAATGGAATACCGAATTTATTCATCTTTGGTAGCCCGTACAGTATAGGTGGTTTTGAGGCCCTTGGCTTAATTTGGTATTGCTCAGCCTTGGGAATTAATATATTTGCAATGATTGCAGTAGTCATGTTCTAAAGTATTAGCTGGATCTCGTTTAATTTTAATATAGGTACTTTCCTCCAGTAAATCGTTCATTGTATTATCATAATCCGCTCGTGACATCACTACAGTTGTGCGGCCTTTATTAGCTGCCAGAATTTGGATATCTTTAGTTAATCAAAGCTCTCTTAAGGCTTTTGCTTTGCAAAATCAAATATTTATTTTTGGTACTTTGTTATTCTCAATTATTTTGGCAACCTCGTGCCTAGTCATCTCTGCCTCATTATGTGGAAGGTGTCTTACCGCTGATTCCACCTCAGCAATTATCTCATCTACTGGAATTGTACGTGGGGTAACGGCCAAGTTAAGACCTTTAGAAAGGGCCGATATCATGTTGCTAGTTAAATCAGTGTTATTTAAGTTCATTAGCGTTTTGTTTTCAAATTGTTCGTTATTAGTTGGGAATTGTTTGTTATGAAGTCTAGATAATTTCTTAATTTGGTTAGGTTTTGTTAGGTTAAATACATTAACAGCCGATTGTGGTGTTATAGTATTGATTATATTCAAATAATGTATGGATACACTAATGATGACATGCAAGTGCTTTAGAGATTCAGAAATGTGAGATAATTCACTTCTGTTGTGCTGTATTCTCTCTAGGAACAATAATTCGCTGGCTTTGTGTAGTACTTGGTTAGCTTAACAGACTTTATGTGATGTATACTCTTTGGTTCTTTTGGTAAAGTCACGTAGGTAGAAAAAATAATAGATCACAACGTTTCGATCGCAATACAAGCAACCGTCAGCAGGAGGACTCCTACATCAGCAGTCCTCCTGCTGTGTTTGTTTCACACCTGATGACGGTTGCTTGTATTGCGATCGAAATGTCGTGATCTATTATTTTTTCTACCTACGTGACTTTACCTAAAGAACCAAAGAGTATGGATTCCTGCAGTCATGAAAGCTTCAAATCAAGATTCATGTGATGTTAACTGTGTTTGGTATTACCTTTGAATCTCAGCACATTTTGAGGAATGCCAGTGAAGACATCAATTTTACACGCTTAATGCGGAGTTTCTCCAATTTTCTAGTAAATAAGACAGGTTTACCAAAACTAGCTGACCATTGTCTAAAAAACACTTATTTCTTATGGAGAGGTGATTTCTTTAAACAAAAGGAAGGAGTAGCCATTGGGCTGTCCTTTATCTCCTCCAATAGCAAATCTGTACATGTGTAATGGCATAGTGTAGTAGCATAGCGCTGGCTGCTGGCAAGAAAGGGGATCTATGGCATACGGCATCCCGGACGTCAGCAGGCCAGGATATACACTAGAGGGGGATCTAGGGGAAAGGTCACAGAAGGTGCACACCAGGAACCCGCTAGTAGGTTCCAGAAAGGGCGCGTGGCCGAGTGCGGAGTGAGACCAGGCTGACAGTATAAGAGGGGCCTCTGTAGGGGACCTCGGGGTTGTTGTTGGAGTGGGATCCCTGTCGTGCTGCTGCAGTCTTCGTCACCATTCTTCTCGTCATCTTCACCATTCTTCTCGTCGTCTTCACCATTCTTCTTGTCGTCGTCTCCGTCTTCACCATCTCGGGGCACCACCAGTCAGGCAGCATACCAACTGTCCTGACTGAGTAGCGTCGCCGACAATAGACTGACTAATTATGAAGAGTGTTAACCCCGATGGTGCTTGTTAATAAATAAGTGCCTCCAAGTCTTATTGTCTCCGAGTTAGTCACTACATTTGGCATCAGAAGTGCTAAAGAAATTGATATTCGTCACGTCAAAAGCAGCCAAGAGAAAAAACACACCGATAGTGTTCTCTGGAGACGAGGACGACGGGGGACGGGGTTGTGATCCCCTCGACAGCCCCGGAATCCGGTGATGTGTCCCGAGGCGGCGATTACTGTGGAGCAGCAGGAGAGGGACATCGGCCCCTTGCAGCCGCCGGTCGGAGAAGGGTGGCGCGACCTCACCGGGCGCCTCGCGGGCCTGCTCTCCGTTGCAGCACAGCTGGTCGTCCAGCTCGGGTCCGTGGCGCCTGCCGGAGATGCTGCAGTAAGAGGGCAGCAGGCGGACGGCTCACCTTCCACTGCCGCAGCAGCGTGGGAAATGGCGGAGTTCCCACCCGTGCAGGCGGCCGCCATTTTGTCCGCCGCGGGCACGGCGCAGCAAGTGACCGCCATTTTGTCGTCCGTGCAGGAAAGTCTTCCTGCCATAATCGAGTCACCATCAGCGGCTTATAACGGGGGCGCTGTCTCTACGGAAACTTCTGCCTACCATCCGCGAGTTCGTGGCCGCGGGGGGCTTGCAACCTGGTCGGGTGGTCAGACACGGAGGCGCTACGGGCTCTGCCCACGGTGCTGGATGATGACTCCCTGGCAGCGTTCGAGGCCATCCCCGAGGCTGACCGGGCAACTCTACCTTGGGCATGTGCTCAGATGGCTGCCATTTTTGATCCACCGTCCAACGCGTGTCAAAGGTTCATGCTGCAGAGGCGAGGGGAGGCCGAGATGCCTCTCGCCTTCTGCAGCGCGCTGTTGGCCTTGGGCCACGCGGAATACCCGCGTTTGGAGCAGACTGTGCTGGATTCCCTGGTGCTGGAGAGAGTGCTGTCGCTGGCCCAGGAGTTGGGCGTCTCTCTTCTCGTCACGGAGTAGGATGACCTATCGTCCCTAAAGGTGGCCCGCTGCATCCAAGCACACATCAACTTGCAGCGGTGGCTCGGGGTGGCTGCCTGCACGGGACTCCCGGAGGACACGGAGGAGCCTGCGCCATGGGAGCTGGAGCGGGCCTGTGCGTCGTTCATCCAATGTCCACGCGGGAGGAAAATCAAGGGGCGACGACCGGAGCAGGAACGGTGTGAGAGAGGCCCCCTTCCATCGTGGAGGTCCACGATCGCCTGCTTCAAATGCGGCCAGCCTGCCACATCGCCAGGGGGTGTCGCAACGGCATCGGATCGCTTGCCTTCATCATCCTCCGCCCCTTGCGGTTGCGGAAGCAACTCTTGATTTGACAAATCCCATTGAAGGGGTCCTTTAGACCGCCTCAAACAGGTGATTCTGGGTCTCGCATTGGTGGGTGCCCAAACTATAACAAGGGGGGACCAGGAGCCCTTTTTGCAAGTGCTAAACGTCGGGCTGGGGGCTGCGGTGGTTCAAGCCGGCACAGTTTTGGCCCACGCAATGGCCACGTGCTGTGAGGAGGCCTGCGCGGAGTCTGCAGAGGTCGTTGCCGTGGTGGAGAGGGGAGGCGAGTTGGACGGGGCTTGGATGGATGCGTTGTGTGGAGAAAATTCAAAATTGTCCAGGTAACAGTAGGGCGAGCTGCGTGCCTTGCTCCGAGAATGACGATATTTTTAGCCAAGGGAAATTTTATATTGGCCGCACATCACTATTGCAACATCGCATCGACATGGGTAACGCTGCTCCAATACGGCAGAATTCGTACAGGCTCAGTCCCACGGAAAAGGACCACGTTCTCCAGGCAGTTGACGAAATGTTGGCTGCGGACATTATCTACGCACTCACTGCCAAGGGCCAGAGATTTCGGTGGGGGGAGGAGGAGGCCGCGTTTGTCGCGCTGCGTGATGGCCTCGCCAATGCGTCTCCCCTTGGATACCCTGATTTCTCTCTGTCCTTTGTGTTGGATACGGATGCCAGCGACACCGGAATCAACGCTGTACTGTCCCAGGTCGTGAACGGTGCGGAGAGGGTAGTGACCTACGGGTGCCGTGTGCTGTCCCCCGCAGAGCAGCGTTACTGTGTGACGTGCAGAGAACAGTTGGCCATAGTGCACTTTGTGCAGTAGTATAGGCCGTACCTTTATGGACGGAACTTTGTCGTGCGCACAAGACCACGTGGCTCTTCAATATGCCTTATGGGTTTGACCAGCCTTCTGGCCAACTTTCCCGCTGGTTAGAAATTTTGCAGGATCACGGTCCACCTACAAGAAGGGTGTACGGCACTGCAACGCGGATGCGCTGTCCCGGTTACCACCGTGTGCGTGTCTAATGGGTGCCGGTCGATGTAAACCATCGGCTGCGGAATTGCCGTGCGCTGTAGTGGCATCCATCGATCTACCACCACCCGCGACAACTGCTCCTTGTGACAACAGAATTGGTCTCACGCACGCTGAATGGGGACGCCTCCAGGTGGAGTTGCGGCGTCACGTTGGGACCAGAGGTAGTAAAAATGTGCCAGCAGGAATGTTCCTTATAGCCCTCCATGGAGGACTTTTGATGAGGTAGGATGAGGAGCTGCAACGTTATTGCATTGTGGTGCCGACTGCTCTGCGGGGTCCACTCACATGGGCTGTCCACGTGAAATTAATGCACCTTGAAGTGCATAAAACCTTGCTGATACTGAAGCGTGACTTCTTTTGGCCCGGGATGACAGATGACGTGTACCACATGGTCAAAGGGTGTACTGACAGCGCACGCCGCAAACCCAAAAACCTTTATTATTAACGTAAAAAGAGGCCAACATTGCCTCACTCAAATAATACTTTATCTCCATTGGTGGATCTGACCCAGTGGTGGAATTCTATATTGCTATGGCAGTACCATACGAAAACCAATGAAATTTTTTGCAAAAGTGATGTTAATTCTAATTCAGAATTCATGATCTGAATTAACCTTTAGCATGCGAGTCGAGTGAATCAAGCGATTTAACCACAGTGGCGCTTAAGTCACATATACCACACACTTATAGTCAGCATCTGTGAAGCTGTTGCATCCCCTTTTGTATGACTACAACATCAGTCAGTATTAAAGGGATAATTCGGGAATTCAAAGGACGTGTTTAGGGCATTCTAACAAGTCGATGTTAATGTACCAGCATGCCCTGTGGTCGTGTGCTGCCACCTTGTGGCCATGGAGTGTTTAAATGAACGCAATGGATGGATGGCACTGTCAATGCATCTCTATGCCCCATGGCTGTCTTGGATTTGCTTGTTGAGATGATACACCACAGACGAACACTTAAGTGTGTATGCCATACACGTTCATGTGCTTCGTATGTGTAGGCTGCGTTAATGCACTCGGTACTTTACTTCGATTATAATGAGCCCATCAAACCAGATGGCATTGTCGTTAAAATCCTGGTTAATAAAGTTTGGCACAGCCTGTTATTTTTCTGGGGTCGATTAATTGACCACCGCTTTACGGAAAGACTAAATCGAGAATGGTACCACTCCATGCTAACCACTGATTTAAAAAAAAACATTCATCAATTTGACAGAGCTGCAGTCACTTGGACTCCATCTGCATGCATTGTGTGTGCACCCGAGTGTATGCACAGAACTCACTGGTCTGGCGTTGAAGTCCTCATCGGTGAGATTGAGAGAGTCACGGTGGAACTGGTAATAATCAAAGTTCTGCTTCATCACCGTGTCATTCTTGTCGAACAGGAGGTAGGAGGCGACACACGATATTGCCTGTTTGAAGTTGTCCTCTGGAATAACAGAAGGTGAGGAGAAAGCGGCATATTCTGACAAAGGGCTGCACGGGGTCGACAATGAACAGGGATACCACTGGGTGAGACTATGCGGAGATGTATTTCTTGTTTCCATGACCACTGCAAAGTGTGCTTGAACCTGACTGGCCTGGAATTGTGCTGATATCAATCTCTTAACACTGCCCATAATTATCTGAGAATCCACGTTGCAGTCGAGACACAAGCATGCGAAAGAGCTCACTTGTTGAAGTGTGCAGGCAGAGCACACTTTAACTGGGCCGAACACAAGCCCACTCATGATGTATGAATACTGGCAGAGACTGCAGTGAGGTACAGGCAGAGAGCGATGGTGTGGAGCGATGGTGTGGAGCGATGGCAGGAGATGCGCACTCACGCTTGTAGTAGGAGAACTGCAGGTAGTGGTACATGGTCGGCACAAACTTTTCCACCAAGAAGCCCCCGACCACGGGCGTAAGTTTCCCCTCGCACTGTTGCTTGCAGTGGAGCACCTCCACAAAGTGGTCTGCGGATTATCACACACGTTACCATTCTCTTTCGCTCTCCTTTGTATTTATTTATCATCAATTCCTGTCACACTCTTGACAAGCGTTTACTCAAAATATCGTGGACGGATCAACTATTCCACCAATAACAAGACCATTTAGGGTTTCTGTACAATGTACCTTGTGGTCATCCATTTAATTTCACAATATATAGTTATTAATTGCTTTAAAATTTGGAGTTCATTATAATTAGAACACTAGCTAAATGACTACATGATCATGCAGTAATCACCATAATACCAAGTCTCCCCCGAGTATCATGCTGTCAATTGAATGATCTCGTCAAGCAGCAAAAACCATCACGCGAACTCCGGTCATGCCTTGCAGCGTTTTCTTCAGCCATCGAACAAAGATGGTCACTGCATCGTGTGATTTCAGATGCGCTTCCGCAGCCGTCTGGAACGCTCTTCCTTCCGATATTAGGAACCCACTGGAACTATGCACTTTTAATTCTAGATTGAAAACGAATTCTTTAGAAACGCTTTTGTGTTAAGTTTGTCCTTCCCCTGCACCCGTGATCAGCGCGGTTGGCTACGTACGGTGCAAAATAAGTTCAACATACATACATACAATATCAGGCAGGCTGCATTTCGTGTAGCTACCAATCTGAACAAAAACGTCCTAATATCTAAATAGGTGATCATATTAGACGGAAGTGTGCACAGAATGTGCTGCCCACTCACAAGCATGCCGAATGGACACGCACGCGTTGGTTACCGGCGATGGAGGGGTAGAAGTCCTTGAAGTGGGTGATCTCCCGCGAGCCCTCGCAGCCTGCTGAGCAGTCGTCATAAGCCTTGAAGTACACTGGCAGGGTCTGCTCCATGTTCGTGATGCAGGTCTGATAGTTCTCTGCATTGAAGGCCTTGGCTGCAGCCACGAACGTGCCCTGTGGACAACAATGCACACACACCCCCACACAACAGCCGTCATTCGTCGCTAATTGTCAGTAATGTCACCACGGTGCCTGTGTCAGGTTAGGTGCACTTTGAGGCCACGTTAAGTGTAGAAGGCTTGCTTGCAGGAGGTCATGGAACAGAGCCAGGTTGTATGGGGTAACTGAGAGATTACCGATACAATCACATAACAGCCTCACCACTATTTAGTTAATGTCATTGTTTAGTTGATGCCCATGCATTTAGCTTTGGAGAAGGGGGAACAATGAATTCCACGACTTGAAGTTTTCGTGACTGCAGAGATCCACACTCTTTGGTTCTTTCGGTAAAGTCACGTAGGTATAAAAAATAAAATAAATTCAATTAAATTTAATCACAATTTATTTTATTTTTTATACCTACGTGACTTTACCGCAAGGACCAAAGAGTATGAGTTCCACGACTACAATTAATCATATTTCAGGTCAACGTCAAAGTATATCCATGCATAAAGTAGCATTCTGGGGTATAAATATCAGATTATGGAAGGTATTGTGAAATTACTTTAATTCATACCAATCTTACCTATAAACGTAATTTTTTGTCTGTCTGTCCGTCTGTGGACGCGCACTTGCGAAGGATTTGGCTCGTAAACCGTGGGGTTCACGTGAAAAATAAAACAGTAGCCGGGTACCACGCAGTAAGCCCCGTGGTCGATGTGTTTGTATGTGTGGGTCAATGTCTATAAGTGTGTGTAAGTCGATGTGTGTGTCTGTCTTTTTCGCCCGGGAAACGCTGGGTACTTCCCGCGAGTATTTAATAATACTAATGATACTTGCAAAGTGTAAAACCGGTGGTCAAGGTGCAGAGTTGCAATTAAATGCTCACACCACTGCTGATGGATGGAAGGACCTCCAAGCAACAATGTAGCCCCTCTAGAATATATTTGGCCTACTTCAACTGAAAAGAACCCCCAATGGCAATAATTATTTATGAAATGGTCACCGTTGATAGTTATACTGTTAGAGAATGTTTCAGGCTGGGTGAGTAATTAACTTTGAGAAAGTTTGCGAGATCAAGTGAGGAAGCTGCTAGTTTATCCCTCTGCAATTGACAATGAGTAACAATTCTTCAGCAAGCAACAGTGATTATTATACAGAAAGCTTGCTCCCGACTGTAAAAATATGGAATTTATACAATTGGCTCTCCCATGTAAGGGGAGATCATTCACAGCACCATTGACTTTGTAAATACTGGTCAGGGCCATCATGGGTCAGTGCAAGGTCTCACTCACGTCATATGCAAGAGCCTCCAGGTCTCGAAAATATTCGTCCTCTATGTTTGGCAGTGTGCGGTAGAACGCCATATTCTTCTGCATCATCTCGTCATCCGGGTTCTTGCGCAGGTATGTGTAGGTGGCCGCTATGGCCTTGGGCACATTGTTAACCTGAGCATGGTAAGCCACAGACACAAAGACACATCATATCAGCAAACATTACTCACTTAATGCATAAAACTGAGTTCCACTGCTGAACTCGCAACTGGTGCCAATGTTCGACTTTTGCAGTTTCAAATTATGACATCAAATAATTCAATCTTTTCATGGTGAAGTAGTGCAGTGGTTAGCACATGGCGCCATAAACCTGATAACCCAAATTCATTGGCATGGCTAACATCTGGTGATACCTAAACCAGTCGTGGACATCCCCATCACCAAACTGCAATTAGCAGCGTCGTGATGGTCAAACTTCCCTATGATTTACCATGTAGGGAGACCATCATCCAGCAGTGGATTTACCAAGGGCTCTATTTCATTTAAGCCTTTTCTTATTCGAACATGTCCAATATAGATGACCAGTGTATGCATATCACAGAGCCTATATATATAGGTGTCATACACAAGCCAAGCATACATACCTATGTGCTTTTTTTTCCCTTAGCACACCAAAATGGTTTTATGTCTCAGCCAAATCTGCAGCCTCAATAAAATTCTTTGTCACGAGCCTCAGTGGCACTCGGAACATCACTCTATTAGCCACCCATTTATATTAAGTAAATGAAAGGTGGAATTCACTCCAAACATCAATTGTTTATTTTTATGCAATCCAATCAGTGGTCATCTATCTACTGGCTTCAGGTCATCTTGGGTTCCAAGCCTGGCCCATACTTTTCCTTGAGCTCAACTGTCACCATTTAACTCACAAACTTGGATATAGTCAAAAGCTCAATGGCTCCAGGATGTATGTAACAAGCACATGGCACACCTGGCCACCAGTAAAAATTCCACATTTCCATAACGAAAGCCAGCCCACGTGATAGGCTGGGTTAAGTTTTTAAATATTAAAAACTTCTCAAATATGAGTCAAAAGAGCTAACCACAGTGCCACAAGGCCAGATGCACTTGCCTGTAGGCTGATCGCATGTTTCACCAGCCCGGTCTCACCTTGAAGTAGCACAGCTGCAGGAACTGGTAGGGCACCCGGTTTTCGTAATCGTTGAGTAGTTCTCTGGTGGGCAGCGACTGTCGAAAAGCGGGCAGCACCTGCTTACATCTCTTGAGACACTGAGCCCTTCTGAGCAGCATGGCAAAGGTCCTGAGCTCTCCCAGCTCATCCTCCTTGCTGTCCGTGGCAGGAGCCACCTCCTTCTCATCGGGCACATTCATGTACAGTTGCTGGTTCTTTTGCTCCTGAGTCTGCTGCAGATTTAGCTCAGAGGTCTGTTGGTCTTTTTGCTCCTGGCTCTGCTGAATCTTCTGCTTGTGCAGGGCCAGCTGCTCAAGGTGCTGATGCATGGTCTGCTGGCTGCAATTGAGGTTGCAAAAAGCCTCGCTGTTCTTGAGCAGCCGGTGCAACCGCAGGCTCATCTCCAGGTACTCCACACACTCGGGCCACTTCTCGTCCGTGTACTGGTCCGTGCCGAAGCGGTAGGCCGACTCCAAGGGCATCAGCTCGTCCCGGGGGAAGCTCCGAAAGTTGTAGCGCTCGTACTGGGCGCCCACGCCCGTGGCCAGCAGGGTCACCAGCAGGGCCAGCAATGGTGCCACCACCAACAGTGTTGGTGTCCCGAGTCCTGCTGACCCCTTCCCAGCACCTGGCCATATCCGCAACCCAGGCAAAGGACACGACTTGGGCCAAATCCCAGACTGTGGCCACTTTCTTGCGCCTGGCCACCCCAATTGTTTCTCTAGCCACACTTCTGATCGCGGCATTGCACTTTCACGGCACTGGTGAGCCTGCTGTTGCTGATGGTGGCGGTGCTTGTGCGTTTGTTTGCCTGCTAAGGGCCCTCTCTACACTGTGTACGTGGGTGCTGTGCGCGTGGGTAAACTGTGACCTGAGCACCAGTTGCTTCGTGGCACACGACAGACCATTTCACTTCGAACCAAGGGAGAGTGAAGACGTGGATCCTGGCTGGAGGAGGGAGTTACTCTCCAATTCCTTCCCTCCTCCTCTCTGGGGCTCTGGCCAATGCCACGGGCCCTCTCGTCACCCGGCACTGCCTCCCTCCCCGCCTTGTTTCGTTCCTCCCAACGCCGTGAAAAATTCACCTAATACTGGTGCCAGATCAGAGAGATTTTACCCACCAAGATGTAGACGTTTCTATGCGGTATTTGTAGAAAAAATATCTCAACACGTAACAGTGCAATGGCAAGCGCCTATTTATATACTTTTACATTTTAAGGCCGTGTCATTAACGTGTCTGTAAAGGTTTTTTTTATATGTGCATCCACTGTCAACGCCGTTTCACCAAATAATGGGGCATTGGAGTTTTTCAGACGGCTTCTTAATAACGGCACATTTTTATCCGCACGTTTGTGTTTTTTTTGTCAGTGAGACGGATTTTGAGAATGTGTTCCGTTTTAAAATAAATATATAAGCTTTCTGTGCAAAATGTTTGGCCTTTAAAAAACTTGACAAGCGATGAACGAACACTTTTCGTTCCAAAATGTGGCAACACTGGAATGTTGTTACGTGGGTCCCCACATCTGCGTATCATCCCACCAGGGACATTCGTTCTGCGTTAATCCCTTAACATCTCATCAGTGCTCCTCGATATCTTCCATCGCCTCTCCTAAACCCAGAAACTACCAACACAGTAATGTGTATATGGTAGTTGTTACACGTAGGAAATGTATTTTTAAAACGCAAGTGTTACTGCTTATTGTGTACGCGTTGAAAATGAGCAAAACTCTACACAAAAACAAACGTCGAGTGTTCGTATGAAACAACTAGACACGTTCGTCAAGAACGCTGCATTAATTGGAAACAATAGGAGACGTTTCGGACAAAGCCCCTTTTTCTTTACCACTGTGCATTGTTAATCAACAACACGTGGTGGGAAGGGCGAGAAGGGGAGTGGTCAAGCGTGGCCCCTCCCCCCGTTTACAAATCCCACTGCGGTAGCGCGGATCCCGCGCTCTGATTGGCCGCGGCGGCGCCACCCGCCGACCAACAGCGGCACGCGCGCTCCTCAGCCACACGCGTGCGCTCTGGGGAATGCAAATGGCTCGCGCGACCACGTGTACACAATCCGAGCCCCGCCCCTCGCCTCCTGGCCACGCCCCTCGAGCCCCGCCCCCCGCCACGCGCCACGCCCCTCGAGCCCCCGCCCGCCGCCACGCGCCCCCGCGCCCCCCCGCCCCCCGCCACGCGCCACGCCCCCCGCCCCCCGCCCCGCCCCTCGCTTCCAAGCCGAGACGACTTGACGAGCAAGAAGCGGCCGTCCTTTCGCAAGCCGGAGCGGTAACGTCCGACGAGTGGACTGGTTAATGTTACTTCTGCCGCAATTAGCCCAGCAATAGACGGGAGAAAGTGCCTGTGACTCGCGGCCCAGCACTAGCCCGCGCGAATGCGTCACAAGACCAGCGCAACTTGTTAGCGGAGCGTAGTCCGTGAGCTGTCTGGACACATTTGTCCAGCGTGGCCATTGCCTAGTCCAGTGCACTGGAGGCCAACACCAGCAAGTTCGACTTCAGCAGCAGTAGCTGGATGCAGACTAAACAGCAGACCCAGCTCGAGACCTGCCGAGCTCAACGCAGCCACCATCCAAACTAAGCCCCAGCGCACAGCACGCTCGGGAAAGCAGCAGTAGCAGCAGCAAGCATCATCATCAACTCAATACCAGCCCATCCCAATACAAGTCAGGCATTATCCAGACCGAGCAGCAGCCCATTTCGGCTCACTCAGGATCAACCAGAACACCAAGTACCAGGTCAGACCACGCGAAACCCATCAGCAAACCCGACCCAGGCTGGTCCCAAAGCCAAGGCAAATCTCAAACACAGGGCAGGCCAGGTGAGCCTCAACATCAACACCGCCACCAAATCTGGTGGCCGCGTCAGGGTTGAAGAGCGAAGAAACCAGAGAGAAAGAGAGAGAGGAGAGGGGTGGTGAGATAGAAAGCCATCGCGGTCACCATGCTGGCCCGCGCGGTGCACTTCGTGGCCGTGCTGAGCGCCTTGCAAGTTGTGCGCACCGTGTGTAACGCGCCGCTCCGGGCACCGGGACACGCGGACGGTGGCGGTGGTGGTGGTGGCTTTTCAGTGGGGGCCTTGGGGCTGCCACCTGACCCGTGTCTGCGGCGCGCGACGCGCGGTGACCTCGTGCGATTTCACTGCAACGGCAGCCTGGCGGACGGGACCCCGATCGTTTCCAGGTAAGCGGTGAAAAAAAAAATTTTACCACGTAAATGATGAGCGCAATTAAGTGTTCTTAGGTTTTTTCGGTAAAGTCACGTAGGTAAAATTTTTTTTATTAATAAAAGTAAAATAAAACAAAAATCACGACGTTTCGGAGGCAACACAAACCTAAGAATACGCAATTAAGTGGCTTATCACGTGGGCATTTATAGCTGCCACATGCTCTGAACGCGTGATGTTGAGTCTAAAATGTGTGGATGGCGGGGGTGGGGGCGGGGAAATCGGAGGACCCGGAGAAAAATGTAACCCATGCAAACTTCAAATGTTACAGACGTCAGTGTCGGGATCGAACCGACGACCTCGTGTATGCCATCTCGCTCGCCCCATCTTCGCCGTCCACCGTAGACATCGCCCGATTAACTCTGCCACGTGATTGGTAACTCCATTTTCTTCGGGTTGGAAACGGTGTTCTTCGTTGCAAGGCCCACGAGGCACTGGTAGCCCCTGGTGGCCTTGAGTGCTGCCCCCTGACATGCGGCCTCCGGACAATACACAAATGGGAAAACGCTCCATGTCATCGTGCTGTTCAACCCAATGGTTTCAAATGTGTGGTGGCCCTCGCACAGTGGTGTCTTATTGGCGAAAGTGCATCAGCAACGAGACTGACTCTTGGCTTCTATCACCTGCCCTGGTTGTTGCCATGCACACATAAACAGAATATGTATTTAGACTGGGAGAGAAATCCGATGTCCAGTAGGGATCTGAGTACTGAAGGTACATGTTAATTGTGACAGCAGATTGCAAGAGAGTATCTCGTGGTTCTCCAGAGTTGCCCATCAAAGTAGTAACCGGTTGACATGACTGTCTAAATGCAAGTAAAGACATTTACCCATGCTCATTCTGACAATATGGCCTAGTTTAATTCTAGATTTGAAGCGTCCGTGACTGCAAGGATTCATATTCTTAGGTTTTTTCGGTAAAGTCACGTAGGTAAAACATCAAAATTAATAAGAATAAATAAAATAAAACAAAAATCGTCGTGATTTTTGTTTTATTTTATTTTATTTATTTATTTTATTTATTTTGATGTTTTACCTACGTGACTTTACCGAAAAAACCTAAGAATATTGCCTAGTTTACACAATTATTGTTACCACTACGCCACTGGCAGACACACCATGCTCGTGTGGACACATTCAGAGTTTTATTAATGATTGATGGCTGCAGATGTTTGGTTCTCAATATGTAGGATAATGTTGTGGACTTACCATGTTTCAGACACGTTTTCGATATTGTCCACCTTTAATTCACTCGGTTCTGCAGAAAATATACTTAGTATGCACCAAACCACAGTGCGTTTAGGACCAAGCCTCCCAGCCACGTGTCACTTTGGCAGAGTGCCCAATTCGCAGTTGTGAGTTTAAATTCCAGTTGTGGGGATGTCTCAACCCATCATTCTTTTGGGGTCGATAGATTGAGTACCACTTAGCCTAAATGGACTCACCCCTACCATAGGAAAGAGGAATTTCCACTCGTGGAAATGAGCACTACCCAGTGCTCATTTGAGCATGGAAACACTTTGCTCTTCAATCAGGAATTCCTGAACTGTATATACGGTGCTTTTTGTGTGTGTGCGTTCCTGATGTTTGTGTCTACGCACAACAGACTGAAAAATTGGACGTGCTGCAAATTGCATTGCACCACATGACTGCACTGTAATGCGACCGCGTGTGTGCGCGCGGAGCTACAGTGCTGCCTAAACCAGATGTGTGACACGTACATGGATATGGTATTGCCAACGCAATATAACAGCAGATATAGAAATCTGCAGTAGCTTGCAATTACCCTCACGTTCCACTGGGTGTTCAACTAAGCATCGGTGAGATAGTGAAAATTAGACATGCAGTAGTTGATTTGCATGATTAAGACATTGGTTGAATGCCAACAAATAGTTAATAAAGTTATGATGCTTCTGTTAATAAATTAATCTTATATCCTGCAGTCGGATAAGCACAAAACTAAAATAAAAATTGGTACTAGAGCACCAGTATTTTCAACTGTCAATTGATGCCCATAGAATAATGAGCACAGAACGGAACATTAATCTATACAAATAATTTTGGTTTATCAAGAAGGATCCTGTATACCAACAGATGCAGTTTACAGATTTGGTAGTGCAGGTGGTGCATCGGCAAACTACACTATCACATGGGTTTGCCTCCCTTGGTTCTGCTGGAAAGCCTTCACTTCTACATTTAAAGCACCTTGGTCTCCCACTTGTGACTGTCTTGTGACTATGTTGCCCATCTTCATGATTACAAAGTACACGTAACCTGGCACATTCATTCAGCTGCCATCACCGTCACCTAGTGGCGAATGCCATCTGTTATTGTCGACGCCTTTGCTCTTTGATGTGGCTGTTGCCGAGTGCGTATTTGCGGTTTTTGCCGATCTCCCATTGCGTTGAGTGCAGCTCTAAGCGCCCTTGGCCGGAGACGGTGGCGCTGGGTGCTGGGGAACTGCCTGCGTGGCTGGAGCAGGCACTGCTGGGAATGTGCGTCTCTGAGCGCCGCCTCGCAGTGCTTCCCCCAGACCTCGTGCAAGCAGCGCCAGCATTCAGTGAGCCTCGCTCACCTCCGCTCCTCATCCTGCTCATTCGTTCATACACCTATTTTCTACTTTTACTCGAGTTATGATCCAAGTTTGCTCTCAGTGCGATGTCACGAGATGGAAAATTGTAGTCTTCGAAATTCTCACTGTAAGGTTTTTCAAGTGAATTTTTTTACTCTTGCCAAATAAGATGATTATCTGCACATATATTTGCATAAGAGGTGTAACCCAGAAGTGGCTGTACATTATTTATATTTCCCACCCTTATCCAATCATAAGGAATCACCAGAAGCGGTTTTCCAGAAGCACAAAATACATATCATCCATGACTCATTTCATTCTGTGTCACCTCTTGGACATGAGAGATGGCACCGAATTGGTGTAAAATTCATGATATTTGTGTTTGTGAATAGCCATGTGGTTAACACGAGTACTTTCCATGGCTAACCGTGTACAATAGGATCTACCAATAGCATCTCCCCAAATCGCCACTAGGGCAGCTAGGAGTGCTGTTGGAAAACTGAACTTAATACTGGAATGAAAATCAACATACCAGGGTACCTAAAGAAACACTTTTCATCGGTGTATATTACCTGCTATTGCACGTGGATCAGATACATGGTCATTGACAAAGAACATGGAACAAAAGGATAACATACACAATGGATGGAGAGATACATGCTTGAAATTACACTGAGAGACTGGAAGAGAAACGCATGGATTAAAAAACATGTGCAAGTTAGATGCACCATATTGACTGTTCAGAAAAGTAAGTGATCATGGGCAGGACACATCGCAAGAAGGGACGATGGTCAGTGTTCAAGACTAATGACATAGTGGCAGCCAAAGGAGAGCACATTCATCATGTAGAGGGAGCACTAAGATCAGCTCGTGTGTAGAAGCTGGATGGATCATTGCATTGCGAGACATTGGGAGATGGCCACATCTTGGGTATGGCTTGAGGAGGCCTTCATCCAGCAATATAGAGAATGGCTGACAGTGATAACGGCAACGATAAAGTTGTCACGTATTCGAGGAGGTTAACTGCACATTCTGTGTACGCGTGTACTAGAGGACGTGGTTCCCCTGGGCTCGACACTGCACCTGGAGCTGCTCCTGCTGGACGTGTGGAGCCTCTCTGACGAGGTGCAGGTGCGCACAGTGCGCCGAGGACCTGGCAACTGCAGCCGCACGGTGGAGACGTCCGACTACGTGCGCTACCACTACAACTGCACGCTGCTCGACGGCACATTCGTCTCCAGCAGGTATCCCCCACGCGATGGCTCGCCACACTGTGCTTTGAAATGACGCGTCGCCCTGTGATTGTGTGTATTTATGCAATGATCAATGGATGAAGTTGATTCTTTCACCACTTGTATCGAATCATGCATGATGTAAAATACATTAACGATTTGTGGAAATGATATTACATTCACATGCTAAAATGTTGTATGCCGAATTAAATGAATGAGAAAGAACATGATATGGACAATACAAACAACTTTACAATCAAGACAGAAAATAATGGATCCTTGGTTTGTGATCCTGTATGGTGAGAAATAATCGAATTGCTGCAGGTTGAATCTTTACATATTTAGTGTGTTTTTATATGTGTTTTATATATACTGTATGTTTAAATACAGCATAAGTGTATATCTTACATGTGTGTGTACATGTGTTCAATGCCAAGTCCCTTTCGTGCTGTACCACACGTCACTACACTGCATAACACTCTCCAATGCCAATAACGCACTTGTTGAGTATGTGGAAGTGGTACTTTGGTTTAAGCTATATGCTATGATTCAGGTTGCCTGGATTCGATTGCTGGCCATGCACATTTGTGGTAAATTGTACTAAAGCTTTTCTGAGCCTCTCTTAGGTCAACTGAGTAATTGTTGCAGGTGTAAACATGGTCACTGGAGAGGCAGATGTCCAAGTGTAGTGCTGGCCACACCACCTCCTGATATGCCATGCTGACCTTAATGTGTGTGCTTGCTGATAGTACTTGCCCCTTTTGTCTATGAAAATAAATGGGGGATCTTTGTGTTGTGTTTTTTTTGTCTGTAAAGCCGCAGCCTCAATGGGACGTACAACACGTACGTGGGCATGGGCTGGCTCATCCAAGGGATGGACACTGGCCTCCTCGGAGCTTGTGTTGGGGAGGTGCGAGTGATCACCATCCCACCCTCACTTGGCTATGCCGAAGAGGGCTCCGGTGAGTGGTCTTCTTGGAAAATTCTGATAAAGTATTGCTGCCTTGTGGCTTGTCGTGGCTCAAGGTTGGGCACTGACTGTGGCTCAAAAGTCATGGGGTCTCCCTGCTCTTCCACGTGTTGCTCGCTGGGTATCTCCTTTGGTGGTTCAGAGGTGATGGAGTAATTCACACATTCCTATGGTGCGATGGACAGTCTCTCCATAGGACACCTACATCCCCAAAAGAGATGTCAATTATATCGACCCCTTAGTGACAATCATAGGATGTCATCCCCTGACCTGGATTTGAACTTGTGACCTTCCAGTTGTGAGTAGAGTGCTCTAATCTAAGTGCCATTTGGATGAATTTTCTTTTGCATTAATTGTTAATGCCGTAGGCTTAAAGAGCCAGTTTCAAGCATGGCAAACCCATGGGTAACCAGATGTAACATAATGTTAAAATAATAATCCATGAAAAAGAGTGCAATGCACGCCATTGGTCGTTATCCAGATCAGGCTTAGAGGTCATAGTGTTGAACTGGCTTGACTGAGATGCTGCTGGGTTTGAATTTGGACAGCTGCCCATGATTACAACTCAAAGCACTGCTCCTTAATGATTGTGGCTATGCGATGTAGGTGATACGGTCCCCTCTAATGCTACGCTGGTGTTCACGTTGCATCTCGTGGACCTGCACAACCCCCGCGACTCCGTCACCGTGGACTCCTACCTGGTTCCGGAGCCCTGCAGGCGCCGTGCTGCTAGCGGGGACTTTGTGCGCTATCACTACAACTGCTCGCTGCTCGATGGCACCGTCTTTGACAGCACGTGAGTGCGTGTTGGTCTTTTGCCCACATGTCAGCTAGCACTCCCGACATTCCATCAGCTGATAGTTCACCCAACAGTCCACTTAGCAGCCCACTTGTCAGCTGACCTATTAACCTCACTCCCCGACCACCCACCAGGTCATCCAGCGCACCTCCAATCAGCCTACTAACAACCACACCAGCCCACTGAGAAACCAGCCCACAAGTTAGTTGAATCAGCAGTCCACCCATCCACTAGCCTACCCAGCAGCCCCATGCAGTACCCACCTGCCAGTGCCCACCTGCTAGCTTACTCAATAGTCCACCTGACAATGTATCAATTGACCATGGAACCATCAACTCCAGCTTGCAGGCCACACGGCAGCCAGCTCTCCAGACCACCCAAACCCCAAATACCAGCATATTTAGCAGCCCAGCTTTCCATGAACTATTAACATGTCCATTTACCAGCATATTCATGATGCCACATCCCAACCTGCCTGCCATCTACCCAACAACCCACATGCCAACCCCACTGCCAGTCCTGCAGAAACATACCCATCTACCAGCCCACCAGCCTACTCGCCACCATCCAGCTCACCAGTCTGACCATCAGCCCACCATTCAGCTCGCAAGCCAGCTCAAAAAGCCCACCATACTATCAGCCTCACAGCCCACCAGCAAACCCACCAGATAGCCCATTAGCTATAGACCCACCATTCAAGCAGCTGAGCTGCAAGTCTAACCACACTTGTGCCTACCTGCCAGTTAGCCTACCAGCTGTTCTTTTGGCTATAGCTGTAACCCATTATACTCAGGCTGAGTTGACCCACTCCAGGAAAATACATAAATTGCCCACTGGTGTCGTGTTGTAAGTCATGGCGAGGAATCAATCCTAGGATGACAGGGTTACAGACCAGTGCGCGAACAACTAACACCACTGCTCCCCACGATCACCGTGTGTGACTGTGTGCAGGCAAACGTGGAACCATACGTATGACACATACCTGGGCAAGGGCTTCATCATTGCGGGCATGGAGGAGGGGTTGATAGGTACCTGCATTGGGGAGAGGCGCCTGCTCACCATCCCACCCCACCTTGGCTACGGGGAGGCTGGCATTGGTGAGAGCCGGCATTCATGCATACACAGACACAAAGACATAGATCTCCCATGTAGCCTTTACAGACAGGCTTGGCATGTGCTGCTTGTAAAAACTTATTAAGGCTGGCATGCCTGATTAGGGAGTAGTGTGGCCAGTAGCATGTACAACTGCCTTTGTCTTTCCAGCCGATGTTGCCACTCAAAGGTAATCATCTAAGGGCTGAGTCAAGCAAACATAGGTCCAGGACAAATTTAAATATTGTAGCCATGAATGAAACTCAGGCTTCCGGGGTCATAGCGCAGCATACTAAAGACTGTACCACTGTGCCCCACACATAAACACACACATCATGTATGCAGACATTAATACACGTGTAGTGTCTTAAAAAATTACTCAAACCGACACGTTGTAACAAGTCACCTGCTTACACTGTATTCAACTGTTCTTGCACCAGTTATAGGCACTCCTTTAACTATCTGTACGGTCACATATACTTGACTTCTCCCCGCTCTTATCTATTCTGCACCTCACTTAACCTGCACTCAGCAACTCTGCTCTCCACGACTCCGCACACAGCAGCTCCGCACTCAGCGATTCTGCACACAGCCACTTCGCACTCAGGGACTCGGCAAACAGCGACTTTGCACTCAACGACTCTGCACACAGCAGTTTCGCCCTCAGCAACTCCGCACACAACGTATTAGCACTCAGCAACTCTGCATCTCCACCGCTGCCCTCACCTACGCTCCCTCAGACCCGCTCACCCGTCTGTCCTGGGCGGGGGATTCAGCCAACACCCGCTCGGCGATGGTATGAGGGTTGAGGTCCCGTTGACGGCTGGAGCGGTAGCGGCGAGATGTCTTCACTCCTGGTTCCCCGGCAACAACTCGCCTCTCTCACACACACTCCCGCTTATATCCCCCTGCTTATCCCGAGTCCTCACGTGCTTATACTTAAGCTGCCGCCAGGCCGGCGCCAGTTGTCCCGTTAATCCCTTATCATCACCCCCCATCTCCCGTCTCCTAGGCGCCAACCTCCGGTCACAGCATAGCACCTGTTAGACCTCGGTTGCACCCGCTTCTCCCCCTAATTACTGGCGGTTTGTCTGTGCAAACCTCATGTTGCAACGCGCACACCTGTTTGCGCTCAGTTGCACCCGCTTAACTGTGCGCACCGCGTATTTCTCTCCTCTACACACGTACACTCAATCATACACACACAGCTGCACATGCCACTTGTATGCACACACATGCGCAGACATAAGAACATTCACAAAAACAATGAAAAGGTTGAAAATAATATCATCAGCTTGGGTTAATGCAATCTAGCCAATGCATATAGATTGCACTCCAAAGCATACTTTTATTTTATAGTGCTGTTATTTCTAAACTTAAATCAAGTTGATGTATGATCATTCGAAAAAAAAAATCGTACATTACTTTGAAAATACTTCCAGCATTGCGTAATGACATGACAACATTTTGATTTATAATCCGTTGTCGGAGAATGCTCCAGATGCTGACATTCTAGATAATCTAGAACTACTTCTGAAGTAATTTCAAATGGGCTCCTTCATTCCCACTGGGAGCACACATTTGTTATGGTCTGTAAACTGGTTAACTACTTGTCAATAAAACCACGTTTTTTATTCTTAGAGCTGGAATTAACTAAATCGGAAGCAAAGCCAAATTGTACGATGAGGGGTTTTTGCACTTTAATTGGTGAACAAGCGCTATCTACACTTGACAACCCATGGCCAAAATTCAAACCCAGGATATCAGCAGTGTCTGTCCAGCGTTTTGACGTGATATTAGCCCCTAAGCCACCCAGCACCTGCAACTACATTTACCTGAATTCAAATCCAGCATCTTAGCAGTGCCAACTCAATGTTCTTCTAATCCTCCTGGCACCTTTGTATTGCGTATAAAAAAACCCGCGTTACCAGTCCTCAAACAAGAATTCATATTCAATAGTAACCTTCCCAATGCCCGTGGACTTCCACCGCTCAGAACCCCGTGTCCGTCCATGACTGCCCCCCCCACCCCACCCCCCGTGTCCCAGCGGGTAAGATCCCGGGTTCGGCCGTGTTGTTGGTGAACGTGCACATGGTGGACCTGCACAACCCTGCTGACAGTGTTGATGTGGAGACCTACTCCAGCCCGCACGAGTGTGCGCACCGCGTACAGCTTGGGGACCTCATCAGCATGCACTACAACACCACCCTACTGGATGGCACGCCGCTCTACTCCAGGTGAGAGAGAGAGCGTGTGAATGAACCCGGCAAGAAACCCGAGTTAAATTCCTACTCACGCCAAATGCCAGTGACGATTATCTGAACTGGTCCTGGGCCTCCCCAAGGTCGACTCAGCCTCAAATGAGAACCTGGTGCAGTGCGTATACATCTACATTGGGGATACAAAGGCGGCCGGGCGTGGTGCTGGCCACTCACTCCCTCGTGCCATGCCGGCCTTCATAGGTGCTACTTGCTAACAGTATTTGCCCAAACAATCTGTTAAGGCTATATGGGGGAACTTTGTTGTGGGGGAGGCTCGTGAAGGATGCTACTGGGCAATAATGGAGGGCAGGGCAGAGACGCTCACAACCACGAGCGGAGTGCTGGGCGGCTAAAATATAGCAAATTGGCACAATAGGGGGCACAGTTGGTACATCTGCCAGTCAGTCAACCCATTAGACCTGGGTCTCTTCCATGTCCTACTGTTAAACGAGCATTTGCGACTTCACGTGCCGTCAAAGTGCACTGAGCTTGGCACAAGCACTGTGGTGACATCTAGAGGCCGACCGAAACTGAATTTTTGGTTTTGGCCGAAACCGAAACCAGACTGAAAGTAAAAAATTTATTTTCGGCCAAAATCGAAGCCGAAACCTAAAGTTTAACTACACTTTCGGCCGAAACCGAAAGTTTAACTACACTTTCGACCGAGACCGAAACAGAAAGGTATATAACCGAAGTTACTGAACACAAGATTTATGAAATATGTCATGATGCAATGCTACCTTCATTAAAAAGAAGTCTAGAACTAATCATTCAGAGCCTGCAGTAAGAGTTGCTAAATATCAAATCATTAGGTGTTACTTAGTAATTATGTCCAAACAAACGAATGTTGTAGTTAAGAAACACCAGTTTTTCCGCATTCAGCAAGACAGGCTGCCGTCTGTTGACCGGTCGTATATACATTAGCAAACCATGGTTGCGGCTGTAACCTCGCTCCCAAGCTGTTGCTGCTGACGTGTGTGTGTGTTTGCAGCCTATCGCATATGATTGCCTAGCGCCGACTGACCGGCCGATAGGCAGCGTGATAGACGTAGCACTAGCGTTATATTCTAAAAATAGATCTTCGGTTGACGAATGACGACCGAAAGTCAATATCAATTTCGGCCGAAACCGAAACCAGACGGAAAGTAAAAATTGACTTTCGGCCGAAACCGAAAGTATGCCGAAAGAGGCCATTTGCCAACTTTCGGCGCCGAAACCGAATTTCGGTCGGCCTCTAGTGACATCACTGCTATTTTTTGGTGAACACCGGTTGTTGTTTTGTGAGAGTGTGTATATAGTTTGTGTGTGAGTGAATTACAACACAACCCATGCACTCTATTTAAGGTAAGAGTGCGAATGTGTGATGTGTGCATGCACATATTTGGGTTTCTACATTGTGTATATGCATGGCTGAAGGTGTGTTTTTGTGTGTGTACACATGCGATTGTGTGCATATGTATGTATGTATTGTGTGTGCATGCCAGATTCACCAAGATATGTTTTCATCAAGGATAGCTTGGTAATCTCTCTGTGCAGCTCATTAAATCGCTACGTCTAGTGGGCCATCCTTAACAGTGGCACTCTTTGCAGCCGGAAGACCGGCTGGACGTACGAGGCCAAGATGGGCAGTGGGCAGCTCATCCCAGGGCTGGAGGTGGGGATGAAGGGGATGTGCGTGAGCGAAAAGCGCTTCCTGACCATCCCCCCGCATCTGGCGTTCGGCGAGAAAGGCATTGGTAAGATGGAGAGAGCGGTTACAGCTGCGTGAAACGATTGGTTGTAAATTCGTTCATTCTAATACGGAGTAAAAACACACTACTCAAAGCATAAATCACAAATACAATTGAGTAAAACATTCTTGAAATGGAATGGGCAAAATTTTGCAATGCAGAAGTCCTAATCGCTGCTATATCGACGCTAATTTCTATGTGTTACTGTGATAGAAGCTTACATAAGGCGTGTGCGGGTGCTCTGTGCCCCCCCCCCCCCCCCCCCCCCCAGAGGGCGAGGTGCCGGGTAGCGCAGTGCTGCTCTTCGACATTGAGCTCCTGCGGGCGGAGGAGGGCTTCCCGGACGGGTATATGTTCGTGTGGAAGGAGCGTGCGCCGCCGCTGCTCTTCCAGCAGTTCGATGCCGACCAGGATGGCCTCATTGCACTTCAGGAGGTGCTGCCCCTCTCTCCAGCAAATATGCGCAGGCGGGAGGGTACGGGATGTAGACTTGAGTTAAATATCAATACGTTTTACTTCAGTCAGAACCAGGTGACAGGTATGGGCTTTCAGTGTGCAGTTAGCCATAGCCGATGCTGTCACGTTATTGAGTAATGTGCGCAAACCCCTGTGCTGTGCTAGAAAGTGGGCAAATGATCGGAAAATTTTAATTGTGGTCATCTTGTGCAGGAGTTGTGTGCTAGTGTAGCCTATTCACCTTTCTTGTAATCTCTCCGAACCTTGAGCTTGCAACAAAGGTAAGTGGGCTACACGAGCTCATTACACGTACACAAGATGACCATGTCACCCCCCAATTGCAAAAAAACTTGTATTTACCAAGGACATCACTCGAGTGTTGGCAGGGGAAGACCTAAAACCAGAGTATAACAGCATATCTTGGAGGTAGGGTGTAGACTGTAACAAATAAATAAAACTTACAGCGGGTGGTTTAAGGTCCATCAGCCTATGGGCCTTTTGGACTAAAGGTATCTAGCAGCAATTGTTAAAGCAGGCAAATTCCAGATTAGTTTCAACTTTCTGAAATGCCTTTCGGACACTTGTGAAATGTGTGGGAAGGAAACAATTCCGTGGTGTGGTGCAATTAGCAGCTTTGGCCATGGTGACCTTTTGACATTGATCTAGGTGTACCGATTGAAATGTGTAATATAGTTGCTGTGATGCTCTCCCGTCTGTTTCGCACTCAGTTTTCGACCTTCATCAAAAGCCAGGTGGCATCGGGAGTCGGTCGTCTGGCTCCGGGCCAGGAGGCTGAGACCCTCATCTCCGAAATGTTCAAGAACCAGGACCGCGACGGTGACGGCTTCATCAGCCCCACGGAGCTCAAGCTGAAGCGGGACGAGCTGGCACACGACGAGCTGTGAGCTGCCCCTGCATCCTCTGCGAAGTGGCAATCCAGGCGCCCCAACCCCCATCTAAGCCCTCCGTCCCCTTACAACCTTGCCTCTGCGGGCTCTGAGACTGTTCATGCTTATGCGCGCTGATTTGCGCAGGGTCTCATACTCGTGTGTGTGTGTTATGAGGAGCAGTGGCACAGTGGTTTGGCATTGTGCTACAAACCCAGCAATTTTTATTTGATTCCTCACCATACACATCAGTAGCAAATGGGGGGATGTAAACTTGTCCTAGACCTTCCCAAGGTTGACTCAGCCTTAAATAAATACCTGGTGTGGTGTGTGAACATCACTGCTTGGAAGACAAAACAATCCGGTTGTGGTGCTGGCTCCAATCACTCTCTCGTGTGCCATGCCAACCTTAGTAGGTGCTCACAGCATCGGTATATGCAAGTAAACTGTGAGATGGAAATGTGGGAAATAACACAGGTTGACAGCTAATGACTCGATTGATTTTTGGGTTGGACCATGTAAAGATCTGGCAAATGAGGTTCATCATTGTTTTCTTGTTTGGCATTTCATGAAAAGGAATATTTCATTGTTTCATAGAAATGCTTTTGTTATAAATGAGAATGCGTAATGTTGTTTTCTGAACTTGGGTATTCCATGTGAGCACTTTGATTTATGAACAAGTTTGAAAATGATAACTTCAGAATTCTTTAAGATTAAAAATATCAATTCCAAGGATGTTACATGCATCATGGGTAAATATTAATCTGCACTAGAGCTGGAACAATTAGTCAATCAAGTCAATGAATCTACTTAAAATTGTAATGGGCAACTTTTTTGTTACTAATTACATGGGCCCCTTTAAGTGGCAGCCAGCCCCACATACTGCCTTCGAAAGGCAGGAAACCCCCTGCAAGCCACGCCCAGAATGACACAGCTGATGATACCAGCAATACGTGGGAACAGAGGTGAGGCTTTCTGTTTCAACTATTTTCGTGTTATCTGATTCGTTGAGTAAATAAACCGTTAATTGATTGCTGTAAACAATTGGATAGCCCAGGTATGAACTGCAACATAGACCTTAAAGGAATGTTTTGAAGGAATGTGTAGGTGAGCTTTTAGAGTTTATATTCTTCGCAATGCAGTTCACCAAAGCCATAATTTGCTACTTTATAATGTTGTGTTATGATGCTATCAACCAAGCTTGTTTTTTTTCTTTTTAACTGTGCAGTCTTTTAAACAAATTTACAGGTGCTATTTGTAATTGTGGTTCTCCAAGCAATATTCATTGCTTGAAACCACCGATGTATTTTGGTACAGCTGATTAATTAGACCGAGGTCATTGTGGTCAATGCTGTTCCATGGCACAACCTCGTCATTGATTCCAGATGCCTTAACTGTTTTGGCATCCACCTTGCGATTGCTGAGCGGCTTCACTGCAGCACCACTGAATAAAGTGGCTTTGCTGCATGTAGTCAACCATGCAATCGCAATAACTGCCATCCAGTCATTGAAGCTGGGCCTCACAAATACATTTAAATCCAGATCACCAAGGTAAGAAGCCGCCAGTCAATCCTTCAAACAATGCCACTGCACACTTTAGTCGAGACACACTACTAATTTGGAGGAGCCAATATGAATAGATAATCCATATTGATTTTGGACAGGCTTTACGATTATACAACATACCAGTTTGTGCCGAAACCGGGTTGGTGTTGCGATGGTTCGTGTACACTTTATAACGGAGCTCAAATCTCGGATGGGGTTCGACTCAAAATACTTGTTCCTGTGGGGTTGATAAAATGAGTACGATTTTGTAGACGGTCGACAGGTGCCGTCCTGTGAAAAGAATGAAGATGAGTACGAACCACACTGCTTATCAAGGAAACACTGGTTTTGAGAAAAATACATAATCTGTTGTCTGTTCTCCTATAACACGGTAGCTGCGTTCCTGAAGAATACCGCGTTATGGAAAAAAATCACGTTATAATAAATAATATAGCGTAAAGAACAGCCCGTGAATGCGTGAGATGCATATGCAGGGTGAACAACGACTGAGGCGCCTGGGAAACATCGAGAAGCATCCATCAGCATCCTACCCTGTGTGATGGTCCACCAAGGCAAGCCATGCATCTGCGTATTCCTACGCGCGCGACGCAGTTCTGTTCACTCAATCGCGTTATATCCAATTCGCATCCGTTTTATAAAGTGTTCCCGAAATACAATTATATACAATTTTCGTTATGAAAACACGTGTTACAGGAAAACAGACTTTGTGACATTTTTGTGAGTTAATTCTAATGGCTTGTATGTAGGATACGTATTACATCTACAGCAGGCACAATTACTCATTTAAAATTCAAATAGAATTAGATGACATGGCATAGATGAATTACCCCGGCATTTATTTACGTCTGTGCACATTTTTGGTCAAAGCACCAAATACCAATGCAATGTCTGCTACCAGTTTCACTTGCACAGGCCCTTGGGAAGGTTAATGTAACATTTGTCATTTTATTTACCCTGTCAAGCCTCGGTCTCATTTAGGAGGGTCCTGCTTGGGATGTCTTGGTCAATTGAGTAATTTTTACCTTCGGTAGTTTTTTCTGGTTGCATGGGTAACCTTTCAGAACCAGAATCTGTATTTAGACTGTCGGAATCCAATGAGCTGTGAAGCTTGTTCACAGATGTCCAGTAGAGGTGGGTCGGCAAGTTACTTTAACGTTCCGCCTACTGCAGACTCCCACATTGCCTATGAACTTTGTGATCCAGGTTTGCACAACCATATGTAAGCATCTGCCTTTTGACTGGCAGATAGGATGTTCCAGAGTAAACAAACATTTATATTCTTTGTTCTTTCGGTAAAGTCACGTAGAAGTGAAAAAATAAAATAATAAAAATATAAAAAATAATTCTCACGATGTTTCGACTGCAACACAGGCAATCCTCATCAGGTGCGATGATTGCTTGTGTTGCAGTCGAAACGTGAGAATTGTTACTATTTTAATTTTTTATTTCCCTTCTACGTGACTTTACCGAAAGAACCAAGAATATGAATCCCTGCAGTCACGAAAGCTTTAAATCAAAACCATATTTATGTTTATTGCGTTGTGATAATAAAATGCATGTCACTTGCTATTGTCAGACATGCAAGCACAGTATTTGCTTTTATAGATTTATTTACTTTTTTATGTTTTTACGCTCGGCAGTGTTGCTTATGTTGAACCAATGTATTGTAATATACATTTTGAAAAATCTTTACAACTTGTATTTAAACATCAAAGACACTAACTGCATCAAATGTAAACTTTCAAGGTTTTGTTGCACGAATTTTTTTTAAAGGTATTAAAAGCTGAGTTTTTTTTAAAGCATTTTCAAATTATGCAAAGGTGCTTGCTGTGAATGTTACACTACTCATTACTTCCAAAACAGTTGGATGTGCATACTCGTGTGTAAGATGACAATGTATATTTTCAGGCAATGAGATTACCACTTGCCACCACATCAGAAACCAAATCCCCTAACATGGTGGTCAACATACGGTGCGACAGATGTTCTACATACATAAATTAAATTGCATTCCATCTACCAAAATATTGAAACTCAATTTTAAAGTTAAGAAATTGTGAAATATGTAATTCCAAACTGAGATTACATTAATCAGGCTGATCACTTTTCAAATACTGTGGCCCAAGTTATCCTTGACCATGATTCTAAGTTAAGCACCAATGATTGGGGGTTGATAGCTCTTACCACAGCTCCACCCAGCTTCATATAATAGTGTATGTATTTTGTATCTGAATATAACCCCATCTTAAGACAGTGGGATCCTGAGTAGTGGTTTGAGTCGCATGTGTAGTATTCTTGAATGAGACCGAGACTTCGTAGAGGCCACATGCTTTTATTCCGATAACACTAGTCCTCCGGACTCACTGGGGGAACAGTCCCACCACACACAACCTAGGGAGGTACAGCCTCCGGCTCTATTCTCATTTCTCTCCTCCCCTAGCCTACAGCTACTCAGCTACTCTCTTCCCTAGCCTACAGCTACTCTCTTCCCTAGCCTACAGCTACTCACTTCCCTAGCCTACAGCTACTCTCTTCCCTAGCCTACAGCTACTCAGCCCACTCAGTTCCAACGGGGCGGCATCCTCGAGGCTTGGGGGTCCAGGATCTCCGGCCGCACCTCCTTCAGCTTCTCGTGAGATCGACCCCTCCGCTCTCCGGGAGCCGTCTTATATATCCCCTCTCTCTGAGGGGCGGGGGTGTCTCGGGCCCTGGCTCTCGCCAGCCCCCTCCCCTCAGAGCGGTTCCAACCATCTCTCGTCCCTGTCGATCCGGGCCGGTCCAGACCGGTACGTACCTCTCCCCTAGCTTGTGTGACCTGTGTCAACCTTGGTGTCAACCTTGACCACCACACATGCATTAAATATCATTTGAGTTGCCATTTGTGGCCCGGTCTCTTTGGAAAGAGAACTATGTAGCTCAGTGGACCTTTCCTGGTAAAACATTTTTTTGCATATTAATACATTTTTAGAACTTAACTGTTTGCATTTTAGTGACTGAAAACGACAGCTCCCAATACCATTGCATAGATCACCTGAATTATAATAAAAGTGTGCCATGCAGGGAAATCAAGGAAATTATTTTCCTGCTGTTTAAACGTAGGCTTTCACAACCAATATCCATCAAAGGTGTTTTTTGGGTTTGCTATGCGGTCTAACCCTAAAAAACTTAAAAAACATTCCAGCACACATTCACAACTGGTTGGTATGTGATTAAAAGCAGCATCAGAGCACACATGAACGCACCAAGATATTTATTCCAATAAAAAAGCAAGTGAATCTTAATGCAATTCCAGAGGCACCTGGCACTGGATAAAATACATTTCCTTCAATACTGCTACAAGTGAAATGTGCTTTGCACCTTGTGGCACATTTCAGGAGTGCACCGACGACAGATGGCAACAAATTGCTTTGCGTACTAAACCCAAAGTTGCACAAGGCTAACCATGCACGGTGTTTGGTCAATTTGCCAACTTAACTTTGTGCTTAGTTAACAGAATGCTGCCTTAAACGCAGTGCTCCACACAACACTTAAAAGCAGAGGAAAGCATTTGACTTGGGAGTTAAATAAATGGTGAGGATGGTGGACGCAGGCTTGGTGGGGTCCTGCATCCAAGCAACAAGATTCAAAACCTTACATTTGGCATTCCATTTATCACCAATCATTTCCACGAAGAATTTTCATTAAATACATTAGTCATGGTGTTGTACTAATACTAACCCTAGCTTGAACGCTAACCTTAACTTTAACACTATCCTAACATTTCTATTTAAAGCTTTCGTGATTGCAGGGATTCAACAGGTCTGTTGAGACGGTCTGTCGAGACTGTCTTCTCGACAGACCTGTTCTCCACCTGATGACGGTTGCTTGCGTTGTGGTCGAAACCTCGTGATAATTATTTGATTATGTTTTATTTTTATTATTTTATTATTCCATTCTACGTGACTTTACCGAAAGAACCAAGAAGACTATCCTAACAATCGTACAACTAACCCTAACATCAACCTAAACATGCATTCTAAACGTAATTCTATCCATAACACTACACTTGCAATGAACAATCCTAATTCAGTACCAGGGCTATTGTCACCTTTAAAAGCAGTAATCCTCACCCTACGTGCAATTCTATCCTCAAAATTAATCCTCACACTAAGCAAGGTTCAGTTTGGTGTTTGCAACACATAGCACCAGATGTCGTGCGCCACCGATCTCTGTCGAAGCAGGAGATGAATAGCACACGTGGCCACAAGCAGTGACCCAGGGCAGCCATATGTAAAGTTTGTGTGATGTTGCCTTACAGGACCCACAGCCAAACATGCCGTTTCCCCTCACACCACACAGAAATGCCGTTTGCCCAATTACCGTTTCACAAATATTCTTAAATTAAATAAGAAAACACTATCCACAACATGGTTTAATTCTGCAAAGAACGCTTCTGTAAAAATAGCTATTTTTTCCTCTGTACATTTACTTTGCAAAACTACTGCGTGAGAACCCCCTATGTCAATCTAGTTCAACTCTTATTGTTCCAAATATATTGTTTGTTACTTTCAATGGAATATGCTTCTTGCATAGGTAGGGATATAAATTCTAATAGCCATTTCCAAATTAAAAGCCATATTTTTGCAATAAAAATTAATGTTAAGTGACTGCTTTATCGATCAAAAATAAATTACCAAGTTTACGATTTACTCTCAAAGTGGACGATGATCTTTCCAATTTGAAAGATTCGAATGAAAGAATGGCCAACACGTTCTCCACAGACATTTTCAGGCACATGTGCCAAGCGAGGTGGAGATTCAAACGTAGTGGTTTTAGCAGTGGTTTTGCACGATTACACCATAAACAGATCCATACTCATGCAGTATGAATCCATTCAGTTAACGGTTAAGGATGGGGAAGAGCAAAGATCAGAGCTGCTGTGGTTGATGGGGATTGGGTGGGGCTGGTGGAGTCACTTTTTTTTTGCTGTAATTGATAGACCATGGTGTTTGGGCTACAGAATCTTCTGCAGGATGGCATTGGCCAGCTCCAACGTCTCATCTCGCACCAAGACAATGTCGTACATTTCCATGTACTTCTCCAGTCTCTCCTCCACCTGCTCGCACACGAAGCATGCCACACAATGGGAAACAGGTTAAACAAAAACATCCACTTCAGCGATTAGTTTCTCAACTTATCTGTGGATTTACCAGCCCCTCATATGCTTTGCTTTTGTCCATGTACTCTGTTTCCCCCCCCTCCTGTATGCAAAATATTTAACAAGGAATTTGCCAAATATCCCAACAGAGAACTATATTTAGAAAAAGTAAGATTTAGGGAAGATTTTGTGGATAAATAAAATGCTAAAAGTAATAAAAGTATCGCAGAAAGGCACTGCAGTTGGCATCCTAAGGAAGGTGGCAAAGGGGATAACCTGGAGAAAAATCTTAGTTCAGTTATCAACATTTGTTGGATCAAGCAAAGGATAGGAGGTTATGGTGAAGTGTGACGGTGTCAGCCATCCATAAACCAGTGTTGTGTTAATCCTGCACTTTTTCAAGTTACTTTGCTCAAACAAGCAATAGGTTTCTTCTCACTTTGGTGTAACTGGTAATTCAATATTCCCAAGGCAGAGGCCAGTCTTCTTCTTTCGTACGGCTGATGTAGATGCAGAGCAATAACTACAACTTCACATTCAGATGGTCAAGCCCAGACAACCGCGTCAGGAGCAGCAGAGTGTATCGCTGTAATGTCTCCTTCGTATTTATAGATCGGGCATTGCAGGTCAGTTATCAAACAACACTTCGAATGTTACCTCTTTCACAACGTGGAGGATACAGGCCGAGTTGATTCTGAGCAGGATTTGAATACGACATTTTGATTGCACCGAGCACTCGTAACGAAAATCGAGAAGGTGCACTTGTGGAATTCTGCGGGGAACTGTAGTTTGCACGAGCTGAAATGTAAAAATGTCCAACTAAGTAAGGCAAACGCAGGGAGAGCAGTTTCGGTGGGGCCACCTTGTCGTTGAGGAAGCCAATCTTGAGCATGTTGTCAAGCCTGGGCACTCCATCTGCCATGTGCAGGTCTCCCAGCGAGTCTCCGAGCAGCAGAACGTTGCTGTAGTTGCGCAGTTGCTTGAAGTAATCGGCATTGCGCAGTGCGCCCTCTCGCTTGTTGTAGATGTGGATCAGCTCTCCCTTGAATCCCCTCAGCACACCCTGCCGTCCACGGGCACACAGACCTCACATAGATACAGGGGACCAGTCTCTGTGTGGGATGACTGCCTTTACATTCCAACAAAGCTGTACTTATAAGAATAGGTTTTACCCTTTCTGGAAAGGAATCATGTCTGCATTAACCAGATCATGCAGACATGATTCCTTGCAAAAAGTTTCAGTTTGGTGTTTGAACATCTTGACACCTGTTTTATTGCCAGAAATGGCAAAGCGTATTCTTATTATTTGATACTGGCAAGGGAGGTCCCATGATAGAGCTGTACTTATTTTATTGAGCAAAGATGGACGACGAGTCAGTCAACCACAACCACTTACAATTAGTCCAATGCCCTACCAGTGCATTCCTTACTTAGTAAAAAAAAAAAAAATCTTCTATGCCTATATTCACATTGTGTGGCTTGTGTTTAAGCAAGCAAAATAGAATGAATGAACATTACAGCAATATACGTCATCCTACCAGTTGCTAAAGAAACTATTATAAATTACAACACGATTTAATATTTTCACTCGTAGTATTTTCACCTTACGCGAACAACTCTACAATAAGAAAATTATTTTATTAGCATAACCTAAACGAGCCTAGCCATACATTACATTTCACAAAAAGTTATTATTTGTAAACATTGATTGCCGACTTCAACCCACCCCACCTGACCTCACCTAGGTTCGTTCTCACCCAGCAAAGGTGCTTCCTCCTCGGTTTGAACGCAAGGCCACAAAAGGGCTTGGATGGGAGTTTTGGAGTGTTGAGCGTGACAGATGGGGCAGGTTGAAATATATGGCAATTAAGCTAAGGCTTGGAACTCACTTCCCAGCAAACTGTACTGGGAAAAATGGAATGTCTTTTGGAAATTTCTACAATCTTATCTTTTCAACCTGGCTTTTAATTCTTAAACTTAAAATAAAAAATGTGTTGCAACTGCTGGTTAAAACTGTAAGCAGCCCAATCCCAAGTAGCTTTCATATTTGTATGTCCATGGAAACAAGTTGTGGCCTGAAATAGCATACTTCTGGCCTGATAAAGGGCCCAGCCGGGGGAGTTGTCTGTGGGGAGACGGATGATCGTGCGGGTTGGGAAGAGGAGCGGCAGGCAACTTACGCCGTCGTCAAAATCCATGTAGTTGGAGACGACATGAACGTTGGGGTGGAACACATCCGCCTGGCGAATGACCTCTTCGAGCACGTCACCCACACCCGCCGAGAAGATGAACACGGGCACGTGCCGCTCGTTCAGGCGGTTGAAGAACCACACATAGCCTTCCCTGCACGTAGTAGAGCAGGAAACGAAGTAGCCAAGAGTGTAACGTTCCTATGGGTCACCGTGCTTCCTCACAACGCTCGGTGTTTCCCCAAAGCTCAAATGAGTGTACGGAGCGGTGCTCATCTCCATTCGTGGCCCTAAGCCAGTGGTGGAAATAGCAATCTCTTCTTTAGACAACCACTGTTGTCTGCCCACATTTTATTGACCGAATGGGATTTTAACTAATTCTTGGGTCTTTCGGTAAAGTCACGTAGATAGGTTCAAAGAAAATAACAGAACCTATCTACGTGACTTTACCGAAAGACCCAGGAATATGTATTCCTGCAGTCACGAAAGCTTTAAGTCGGGATTTGAACTCACAAACTTTGCACTGAAAATGTAGTTGCACTTACCTTAGTGTCACCTGACTAGCTAATATATCCAGTACTGAATGAAGTTGAGCATTCACAACGGATTATGAATTATTACACAATTATTCCGGATACGTGAAGGAAGATTTGTATTGCCGTCTATAACAGATTGAGCATTCCAGATGGCAAAGTAACAGGATGAGCTTTTGCTGTACTTGTGAAATCATAATCCTTATTTAGGACTGGAGGAAAGCGATGAGCGAAGCAGCTCTTTTTCACAGATGTCCAGTCTGGGCGGGTCAGCGAGTTACAACAATCTCAAGGGACCTCAAATTTACACTAGAGGGCAGCACCTTCACACATCCTGTTAGAGAAATGCTCATTGTAGGACATGTAATATACCAAAATTAAGTGTAAAACCGAATGCAAGACAATTTTTTTTGCACAAATGATGTTTTACTTTTCATAAACATAATTTAATTTTTATTTTGGCACAGTATTACATGTGGTAATGATGAACATGAAAGTGATTTGTGTTCGAGACCCATGTTAATGATGATGATGAACGTGACAATATTGAAGACCTGAGCATGACGTCGGAGTCTCTCACGGCATGCTCCAGCTCATCCTTGTGGAGGCCCTGCTGCACCAGCAGGTTGTGTGCCTTGGTCCACCTGCATGGGAGAGATGTCGTGCATACAATACGAGGTGAACCCACGGCTTCAACACCGAGTCAATACAAAGATGGGCTTCAATAGCGAATTGTAAATCTCTCAGTTGATTAAGCATCATCTTTCAATGTCTTATTAAAAGAACAGCATACTTCCCCTCTAGAACATTTTGGCAAAATTATGCTACAGGCTTTAACATTGGCTGCTATGTATGGGTTTTCTCTGGGTCATTCTGTTTGTTCCTACATGCAAAACTAATTTTTTTTACGGAATTGGCCAATGATCTTCATGCAGGACCCTCCTGAAAGAGTCTGGAGACTCCACGATAATTTATTGGATATGTAATGAGAGCCTATGTCCGGCTCACGTGGTGATTGACTCTGCCGGTCCTGCTCTACAGCCAATGGGGGGAGAGCCTGGGAGCATGGCCCTGGCGTGATCGAGGGATGTCAGCTCGGATGATTGGTTCTGCTGCTCTTGGCCTCAGCCAATGGGAAGACAAGTCAGGGGCGTGGTCCCGGGAGTTGATGGAGGAATCTGGAACATTCAGCGCAGGCTATTAAGGATTGGATGGAGCGTACCATGTGACCCAGGCATTAAATAAGGGAAGAGCCGCGGGACACGGGGTCAGACGAGGAACGAAGAGAGAGAGGGTTCACGCGCGAGCGGGGCTCCGGGTGCCACGTGGCGGTGCGTCTCTTGCGATCTGTCTGCCCACTTCCCGTTGCCTGCCAGCAACAGGGAGTGCTTGTGAACTGAGATAAGTAAATAAAAGGACCGATTCCACAAGCAGTCTCCAGAGTATTATTACAGATATATAAAACTGCCACGTATTCAATCCGAGTGCCGTGACCAAAGTTGAACACAGCAGAACTCACCACTCGACCATGTAGGGAAGCTTCTCTTCGTTGCTCAGCTTTGGGTCGATTTCAATGGCGTAGTACTTGTCTTTCAAGGCATGCAGCTGTAAAATAACACAAGCGGGTCATGTGGGGAAGGTTGCGTGGCCACTACTGCCAAGAGAGATTGGCCCTGCATACACTTACAGCAGTCATACTAAGCTAGTGGTGGAAATATCACATTCCAATGGCAGGCATCAGTTTCTTGATGGGTAAACCACTGTTGAATTCCAATAAAGTGATGTGCATTTTGTGTTACTTCTGCCATTCTGGTGAGCCTTGTTGACAGATAAATGTGATTTGAACTCATGACCTACTGATGTTTAACAGAACAAAATTCAAAACTTGAAGAACTTGCAAGACTTAAAAAATTCAGTCAAGTTGGTGGTAGAACCCATGGGCTTTCATGTACAAGCACCTTCTGTTCGACTTACATGGTATTGCGAGTTTTTTCCATAATACTATGCAGCCCATACATATTTTTTACTCGTGCGCAATACTTGATAATGTGTTTCTCAACTGGTTGGCACGGCAAGCGCTTTGCAGATGGTTATTAATTCTGCAAGAGGCAGCGCATTCTCCAGTCTTCTCTGTGTAACACCAGACCTTAGCAGGCCTCACGTGACATCCTGCCTATTCGTTAGTTAAGCACAAGTTTACAAAGTATCCAACATTTCCAAGAGTATATAGAACAGTGCTGTTTTTCTGTGCATGAAAAGCTATTCATTTGCCCTCAGATCTACAGCTAACCATTGTTATGTGTCAGCAAATACTGCCTAAGGAGTTTTGTGTTTGTGTATTTTAATAAAAACTGGTCTCATTGACATCAAATACATCCTTTGCCAATTAAGGGCTTCCTCACACTGCAGGTCATGGAGGTTAAATTTGACTCACTGGTCAAATATATTTATACACTATAATCCAAAAAACACATTTATTATGGATAATTTTGGTCGTGAAAGCCTACGTGTTAAACTGGTCAATTTGGTTTGGTAAAGGCAATTAACAGATGTTGGGAGAATAGTACAGAAAAGTATTTTGCTGTACTGCCCTATGCAGCCTACAAAACACTTATTTTATGTACAGTAGTTGCCCATCAAGCACTATCCAGACTCACAGGAATATCAGAGAGATGCACATAATTAAACACTGTACTGGAACCCTTACCTGCCTTATTCCCTCTTCTGTAACAGACTTGCAGCTTTCAATGATGTCTGCAAATAAAACAAATATCCTTTCAAATAGAAATGCCAAAACAATAAACTTCATGACCTAAAACGCCAAAAAATACAAATAGCGAACAAGTGGTCGTGTTTCCATGCTCAAGACACTGGGTAGCTCTAATCTTCGTATGGCAAGAGCAAGTTTATCCCGAGAATGACAAGTTAACTTGCTACAGTGGTGCGCATTTTATTAATCCGAGAGGATTTACGACGTATAATATGTTCCATAAGAGTTTTTTTTGGGGTTAGATCGCGTAAATGTGTCGTCAAAACCCGCCACTACCGGACAGTCAACTAGTAAGGGTTAACACGTAAACAGAACATGCCAATTTGTCACTATTACAGCACACCGGTGTGTTGGAGAGCCAAGCCACAACATTTATAATCCGAGTAGGACCTTTCGCCAGTAATTACAACTAGCTTCATCAGGCGACAGCCAGGTTTGTGGAGAAGTCCACCTGTTTCGATCCTTATGTACAGGCGTAGATGTGGTGACCACACTTCTGCGCTCTTGCACAAAGTGGAGGGGGGGATTAATGAGCCAACGTACATTATGCATGTGCATTATGCGAGCCCTTTGATCTTGTCCTTCCTGTCCATTGTGTATTATTTAGTCGAGACAAAACTTTAGAGATTCGAGACTAAATTTTGATAGATTCGAGACTAAAAGAACAACAGAGAAATAATCAATTATCCCAAATACAACTGTCAGCAGTAGCAGAACACGCGTGCCAACAAGGACACTCAATTGATTTTGATGATGTTGAAGTACTGTGCAAAACTAGCTACTACTAGCCAAGACTAATTAGACAATATATGGAAATTGAAAGAAATAAAAATAATTTTAACCGTTTGGATAGCTACCGCCTTAGTGCTGCGTGGAAGCGAATTGTCAAATAATACATTGTTTAAATGCATGCCTATATAGGGCACCATACTTCAATAGGGATTACCGTTGGTACGACTATTTTAATACACACAATAGACAGGAAGGACAGGATCAGAGGGCTTGCATAATGCACATGCATAATGTAAATTGGCTCATTAATCCCCCACACTTAGTGCAAGAGCGAAGAAGCGTGGTCACCACATCTATGCCTCTATATAAGGAACAAAACAGGTGGACTTCTCCACAAATCTGGCTGTCGCCTGATGAAGCTGTTTGTAATTACTGGCGAAACGTCGTACTCAGATTGTAAATTTGTGGCTTGGCTCTCCAGCACACCGGTGTGCTGTACTGGTGACGTATTGGCATGTTATGTTTATGTGACAACCCTTACGAGTTCACCGTGTCCGGTGGTGGCAGATTTTAACGAGACATTTATATATTTACGCGATCCAACCCAAAAAAAACCCCTCTATGGATGATATTGGTCGCGAAAGCCTACGTGTTAAACTGATCTAATGTTATTTGTGTTGCCTTAGAAAAATCTCACAGAATACAATTCATGAAAAAAAAATTGTTACAAGCTAATAAGAATGTTTTCTTGCACATCAGTTACATATTTGAAGCTATGGTAACAATATACTTGCTCTTCTTCTTGGTTCTTTCGGTAAAGTCACGTAGAAGGGAAATAATAAAATAATTAAAATAAAACATAATAAAATAATTCTCACGACGTTTCGGCCACAACGCAACCTTTCACGCGACGGTCAATGGTATAATGTATAGCAGATTGTATAATAATAAATAGTATAAAAGTGTAATGTTTAATATAATGTATAAGGTAATATATAGTATCATAATTTTATAGTGAATATACAGCAGTGTGGTATACAGTAGGGTGGGTAGAATTATACATAGTGTAATATTACAATGTATAGTCTAAGGGTGGTGTATAGTAGTGTATAGTAATGCAGTATATAATTTAATGTTGGGTTTGTCTATGGCAGTATATAGTACATAGAATTGTAATGTATGACTTACTGTCAGTAGCTCAGCTTATTGGAGAGTATATTTAGCATATTGATGATATTCATGTAGTTTATATTTTAGTTTTTTACGTGGTGGTTTGGCTGCTGCAGCTCCTTACTATTCAAATTCCTTCCCTTTATTACTGCTAACCCTACTTCCTCCCTTTATTACTGCATAATATGACTTTAAGACCCCCTCCCACCTCCTACACATTCCACAAGTAGTGACTAATCCCATATGTGCATTTTCCATAAATATGCTAAATTCCTCTGTTGATATGCAAATTCCTTTGTCAAGGCACCTTCCTCCTCTAACCCAGCTTAAATATACGCTGCCAAGCTTGGTGGTGTTCATTCAGACGCTGTCTTTCCTACAGACCTGTTCTTCACCTGAGGACGGCTGCTTGCGTTGTGGCCGAAACATCGTGAGAATTGTATTTGATTATGTTTCATTTGTATTATTTTATTATTTCCCTTCTACGTGACTTTACCGAAAGAACCAAGAAGATGAATCCGTGCAGTCATGAAAGTTTTAAATCGAAATATACTTGCTGCCATAGCTCATAATAGAAACCCTCACTACTCTGCAGATGGTGTCTAATGGCACATGAATCCCATCGCCATGTAATGCATTGACCTTACCCCTGATTTTCTGGATTAAAGGCATTGCTCAAATATACATTTATCCTGCATGATAAAACGCACTGCCAAGACCTTGATAAGAAAAGGTCCTTTCATGTGAATTCCATTTATTTTCATAAAAATGAAATATTCATGATGACAAATCAGATTTCTTGCAAAGGATGGGTTGATGAATCAAAGGAAGCAGTGAGACAAGAAGCGAGGGAGACAAGACTGGGGATGACTTCACTAAATCGATTTTTTCCAAGTACACTTACACAAGCATGCAAATAAAATCACCTTCCACACTATTGCTCAATAGTTTTATTCCAAATCATGTTGCTTCTAAAATAAAAAGGACACCACGGCCAATTCCACCTAAGACGCCACAACCGCACCAAACAAGGCACTAAACACTCAAAAGACTAAGAGTGTACACGTGCCTAGTTGTAATTGATAAGTCAGTCATAGATTTAAAAAATCTCAGATAGTCTATCCACAGTTGGATGTCCGTCTACCCACGCTGTTGCCACCCCTCATGGTCCTGCAATGCCACAAATCCATCGCAATCCTACACAAGAACTGATCTCATAGCTCCATCTCCGTGACAGTCACCTCTTGAGTGTGTTCTCACCTTCGGCTGCCATTCCGTAAGTTGGTCTCATCCATCAGAAGAAATAAACCCATTATTCAACTGAATTTACAACTAGGCGAGAGCCCATGAAACAACAGGTGATCTAAAGTACCAATATACTCACTGTAACAGGTCGGACAGCGTGTTCCATTATCCGAAAATCTCGTTAAAGTCATGTCAAAATCTGTGACAATCTGCAGACAGAATAAAATAAATGAAACCCCATTTGAAGAAACACCAAAAAAACATTAAATGCCATCACTGTAAAATGTTAAACATCTTCAGCATTGTCAAGCGTAAGTGCATTGCGTACATTAAGCTACTGTGTGCAAGTGAACAAAAATAAAGTAGGTTTTTTTTCGGACCTAAATATACAACCCTGTAGATGTGTTACCTCAAGGACTTCGAGGTTAAATATGAGAGCTCATCTACTTCATTGCAATAGCATTTCATGTGTTGTACTCCCAATGGGCATCTCGTGCCTTGTCAAGTTCATATTAGACAAATTGACTTCATTAAAATCAATTAACATGTAATTATGTTTTAACATTTTTATGCTTTGGTTTACTACCAAACAATTACTGACAGAAGAGTCTTTGTTAAATCAGTGATTTCAAAGTTCAAACAGCCTTCAAATGCCAAACGTTTTGAATCCACATTGTAAAATGCTCTCTGCAATCACAGTAGTCAAACACTTTTGGCTACCCTATCTTTCCACTCTGAAACAGGGCCATCACCTTAATCGTGATCCTGCTATGTCATTTTAGTAAACACGTTATGTAAGATGCACATTGCATAATTTATCTTCAACACAACTGTGTTGATGTGGGATAAGCGACACAGATGGTCACCATCACCTTAAACCGTTTCTGGAGTCAGTCCACCTGGCCAGTGCTCGGCACTTATAATAATTCAATCTATTCAGGGACGACGGCTCACAGTCTCTCAAGATTTCATTGGTAGGGTCATGTATTGAGATGTTTGACCAATTAAACTTTAAGAACGTTTTGCAAGTGGAAGGAAACCGGAGTAACCGAAACCTCATGCATACAAACTAATAAAATGCAAAGGTAATCACAGACAGGTTCACAAACTCACTTGCTGTCCTGCCAACTCCCAGCCACCTTGCAGCCGAGTTGATGCTAGTGTAGGGACAGTGCGGAGAGCACGAGACAGTGCGGAGAGCACGAGACAGTGCGTGTGTGGAGACAGTGTGGGGGTAGGGGCAGTGCGTGGCCAAGTGGTCACGAGGGATAATTACAGGAGGGAACCATCGGGAAAGTTCGGGATTGGTCGAGACAATTCGAGAAAAGGGGTGTGGCCGTGGGCGGAGCGAGGCCACGCCAGGGAAATATAAGGCGGCGGGCGAGAGAGCTCGGGGCTGCCGTGGAATCGGGATGGACTGTCTCCACGCCGTTGTTGACTTTGGGCCACCGCTGTCTCTGCGTCATCGCTGTCTTCGCGTCGTCGCTACTTGGGTGTTGTCCTAGCCCAAGTATCTGTATGTTATTCTAGCCCAAGTATTGTAGGATACGAGACCACGTTATCCGCTCGACGTGCCTTAATAAATAAATAACGAAGACAAGAAGTTGTCCGAGAGTTATTACACTCGTATTTCACAAATTTGCACAATCTAACAAACTGTTGCCTCCAGAGTGCTGCATCTCAGGCATTCGCCACTGCCACTTTTACAAAGTGTGGCAAGGGCAAAAGCTATGGTCCCAACTTGCTAAAGGGGTAACGGTGGCAGGGGTGGGGCAGCTCGGACGTTCATGTGGACAGCTGAAACTAGGATGCGGAACCAGCATAGCCGGGAACGTGCTGTGCAAATGAGATGAAAGCGAGACGTGCTGCACTGTGTGGGGTGCTGCGGGAATGGGGAGACTTTGCGATATTATGAGCTACTGGAGCGATGCACTTTTAAATCGAGATTCAAAAGTAATTTGTTTCAAACAGTTTTTTGTGTATAGTTTATCATCCCACACCTCCAATTAGCATGGTTGGCTATGTACGGTGTGAAAGAAGTTCAATATACATACATACATAGACACACAGACCTGCAGCTTTGAGGCTCCTCCCTCGATTAGGCCACACATTATGGCCTCCACCCGCTCAGGGTCACGGATGTGCACCGTCCGCTTCTGGAATTCAGGCATCTGTGGATGCATGGGTGTGGTGGGGGGGGCCAGATAGACAGTACCAAAATCAAGTTAATACATCTTGATGCCCTATACTGTATTTTGCCAATCAAGCTAGATGGCACTATAGTTGAAGTACCTGGACTCACTCGGAAGGTCTAGTCTCGATTGGCAAGTTGACTCGTCTCATTATTCACCAAAAAATGTATAAAGAGTACCATTTTGTGGAAAGTCAACACTGCTTACATTTATGGGAATGTGTAACTTCCCATCATTGGCTCAGGGCTATCAAAGGAGGCAAGTGCCACCCCTAATGGTCTTTGCCATTGAAATGCATGCCAAAACCTTAAAATTGGAAGCATGTTGACCAGTGACCAAACGATTACATTATCTGAAGAACTAGGTGTTATTGAACAGTTAGTGGAGCATGATCGTTGAACGGTGCATATAAAATTAAAAAGACTAGGGGAAATGCAGGCGTTATGAAAAAATTACAGATGTAAAAAAAAGAGATGACAAGACATTTGTTTATTATTTACAATAAAATTGAAAACATTACTTTTCCATGTATATTCGGTTGGTAATAATACATTGTTGCTTAGTCGTGTACAATTGAAATCAATACAAAGCAGGACTCTCCTGAAAATAATCCTTGACAAGGTCGTAAAGTCATCCCATTCAATATCCTTCAAAAAAGACCACTGGATTCATTGTTCAGCAAAAGCATCCTTATTCAAGCTTGTATCCATGCAGATTCTACCCCTGCACAACATGATGCAGCATTGTCGATGGTTTAATTGGAACCAGGAAAATAATTGAAAGGGTATAAAATGAATGACTACGTATAATAAATTCCATTAATGAAACAAAACTGTGTGAATATGGAATTAACAAACTTTAAAGATTGAGCACCCAAATTTTAAGTCAATGAGTGGCTTTACATTTCTACTCCAGTAAACAATCAGAAGTTTTTTTTTTATATTCAACTAAAATTTGTTAGTGGTGGTATATAAACCATGGCTGAGGATACATCACCACCGCTGCTATTAAGAGCCGTAGCTACACGTCACACCCAGGGGGCTGTGCCAGTTATGCTGTTACAATTTGTGTGGTGCCCTTCCCTCCTTTCAATGGCTATGAACGTCAGTTACAACCATCGTTGTATCACCAAGAAAAGTAATTAAAGTATAGCAGGGTTAATGACAAACATTTTGTTCCAGCCACGAGGCAGTGAATATCGCTCAGCTTTGTCTAGCACAATCCAGGTCAATTTCCCGGACACCTGGCAAAGATTTATCATTTAGCCTTACAGACCACCACTGGGGGCAATGGCTATAAGTGAGCAGCTAATAATGCTGGCATGGTACATAGATGTGCTGGGGCCCAGCAGCAACACATCCACTGCCGATTATACACTGCACTCGTTAGTAAGTTTAGGATAAATAAACCTAAGGGATACCCTGGACAAAGGCATATACTACTTGCCACTGATGTCCATGGCTGGGAATCCAATCCATGGCGCAACACACGAACCACTGCGTCTCACTAAAACAAAGATCTCATACTAGTTGTTCAGCTATGCTGCACCCGAGGGCAGCCGTTCCCCACGACTCAAGGGCACGCACGCACACACGTACGTTTAGCACGGCAACGCACGAAGGCGTGTCACGACTAGGATGTCCGCTCCAGTCCGGTTTCCCCGATCGACACGGCAGCAGCACACACAGCAGCACAGCGAGCCGGGTACACGCCCGGGGAGGCATCATCACAGCAACGAGAGTGAACTGCTCGCCCAAAGTCCCCGCACAGGCCCGGCTATTCTTAGCAATACATGTGCCTAGCGGGACTGGCAGACGTGTAGATGACGTACTGGTGCGGCAGCCAGAAAACAGAGGCAGGTGCCGTGCAGTGTGGGGCAAGTTTAGTGGCTGGAAGGGCGCTGCAAAAAGCTGCACCATCATTGGCCAGTAGAGCAGAGGGGCGTGCAATTTAAAAGCCTTAAATGAAGCGTACAAAGCTATGCTCAGTACCTTCTCCTGGTGAAGTACTTTGCCTGATGGCCCATTTGTGTGGGCCTGCTGGCTACTTCTAATTAAAAAAACTTCTACATTTAACATGAAAGCATATTTCTGCTCAAAACAAGCAATGGAATGGTGGACCATTTTCACTTGTGGCCGTGAGCTAGTTATGGATGTTCTGGATTCCCATCGCGATTGTTACTGTTGTCAAAAGGACAAACATTACACGCACAGATAATAAGCCGAGTTGAGCAACAACAAATATTTTAATTCACAACATTTCAAATCTGAGTCGTGGGCTCCATTACAGTGCCAATTAACTCAATTAACACCTTTGCTTTTTATTTACCACAATACTTGTGGTAAGAATGCAAATGTAGTGACATTGGGGATGTCACTGTGTGGTGCCGGCCCTGGAGGGCCATGGCGTGCGATGTACTTACATCGCGGACAGCATCGTGTGTGTTGCAGAGTGAGGCCGGCTCTAGCAGAGCACGGTGTACGATGCACTGTCATCACGTACACCCCGTAAGTGGGTGTAGTACCAGCCCTAGCGGGGCTTGGTGAGCGCTGGGATAGCGAGGGCACCACGCATGGCGTGCAGTGCGGGCTCCCACAGGAGGGAGCGAGAGAGTGTCAGCCAAGGGACAGGGTTGCCCCGGGCCATGGCACTCTGGTTGACCCCGTAGGCACGTGATCCGGAGTGTCCATAGAGAGGCCCCCAGGTGGAGGAGCTAGGGGGTGATCACGTGTCCGGGGAGAGCTCTCGAGAGGGATCGAGCAAAGGTGGGCGGGGCCGAGGGCGGAGCTGGCCCCGACCCGGGAGGATATAAGGTGGGTCCCTGGGAGGGACCGTGGTCGCTACGTTCTGCAAGCTGGAAGATCCACGTTCTACATCTGAAGAGACATCAACACGTGGCCAGGGACCCAAGTACGGGTCCGGTCCGTCGTAGCCATAACTCCTGTATGGTAGTGTCGTTAGCTGGGTGGTCACCACCCTAGGCTGTATCTGGTAAAGGGGCAGCTACCCCTTTTGTATATACGTGTTGTGTAATAAATGTGTTGCCTCTGAAGAAGAACGTCTGCAACTCAGTTGGACTCACTACACAAACAAAAAACTCTGATAATATATGCATTGTCCTTGAAACTGATTGGTCCACACCAGAGAGATTTATTTTGAGCCTCATCTCAAACTATGTTAGACCAGAGGACGCCAAAAGGCGTACAGCTCAAAGACAATGCACGACCAGAAAAACCTATTCTTATATTTTGGTACTGGCAAAGGAGGTCCCATGATGTAGATGCTCACCCCGAGCTCTCATTACTCTGATAGTGCATTGTCTTTGAGCTGTACGCCTTTTGGCGTCCTCTAGTGTAACACCGTTTGAGACGAGGCTCAAAAGAAAACTGTCTCTGGTGTGGACCAATCAGTTTCAAGGACAATGCATATATTATCAGAGTATATATTTTTTAGCATTCTGACCACAAGTATTGTGATTAATGTAGACATGATTCCTCGTAAAAAGGTTTCAGTTTTGTTGCCAGAAAAAAGGGGAAAAACCTATTCTTATATTTTGGTCCTGGCAAAGGTCCCATGATGACATCCCCAATATACGTTGTATATTATATATACACTTGGCTCTTTGCACAACTCATGGGTACTGTGGCTTTTGGTCTGTTACAGGTTGGCTATCCCTGCCCTAAGGTAATAACTGCTCAACTTGAGCTATTAAAATGCTTTGATATTTGCATTGCCTTTCTGCTGCTGGCCTTTTGCCATTCTCTGGTCTAACACTCGTGAGACAAGGTCATAAAGAAAGCTGGTGCATCATCTTGGTTCTTTCGGTAAAGTCACGTAGAAGGGAAATAATAAAATAATAATAAAACATAATAAAATAATTCTCACGACGTTTCGGCCACAACGCAAGCAGCCGTCCTCAGGTGAAGAACATTAAAGCATTAGCATTAATGCTACCCCTATCCCCTCCCTTTGATGCTGCTAATCCTGCATAATGCACGGGCATAATGACTTTGAAACCCCCCTCCCACCTCCTATGCATTTCACAAGTAGTACTAATCCCATATCTGCATTTCCCATAAATATGTTAAATTCCTCTTCATATGCAAATTCTTTTGTCAAGGCACTCTTCCCCCTCCAACCCAGCTTAAATATACGCTCCAAGCCTGGGGTGTTTCATTCAGACGCTGTCTTCCCAACAGACTTGTTCTTCACCTGAGGACGGCTGCTTGCGTTGTGGCCGAAACGTCGTAAGAATTATTGAATGTTTTATTTTTATTATTTTATTATTTCCCTTCTACGTGACTTTACCGAAAGAACCAAGATGATGAATCCCTGCAGTCACGAAAGTTTTAAATCGAAAAAGGCTGGTGCAGGCCAATCTGTTTCAAAACAACGTATATATTAATTATCAGAGCATGTTTATTTGGCTTGTTTAACCACAAGCATGTGGTTTATACAGACTTCATGCTTTGTAATAGGTGTCTATTTGGTGTTTGAACATCTTAACACCTGGGTTATTGGCAGGTAATGCCTATTCTTTTTCCATCACCCTACAGTAATGTTTTCATGAATTGTCAAGGGCAAACTTCAAACGGCAGATTTGATCCCTGTGTGTTGAGTATAATAATCAATTTAGATTGATGAATACATAAATTGCACCCAGGTCTCTTAGAAAAGGCAATGCGTTTCATGCAACTCAATGGATATATTTAATCTTCTGATTAAAGATACATACAATTACTACACAAAAATGGTAACCAGATGTCCCTTTCAAAGTGTGTCAATTTAAACGACCTGTTAAACAAAGCTAAAACCCTACAAAAAAGACGTTGCCTTTTGCAGAGCCGTGTAGTTAAGGAAATAAATATCAACGCAATCATAAATGTAAGAATACCAAGAACATGGAGAAACTAGGGTGGATGCCACCTTCATAATCAAAGGAAACAACTTCAAGGGGAATTCAGCTGTAATTTAAAGCACATCAAGGCATAGATAAATGGTGATGCACATGATTTTCTGGAAGCAGATGAACAATTTTAAATATCCCATACAGCCTTACCTGGAAAACGAGCAACATTACACTATTAACGGAATTATTCATGCATTTACATTAATTCAAGTAATTTTCTTCCCACAAATGACTGTGGAGGATGGCAATCATCTCTGATGGATACATTACTAAACTAATAACGGTGAACATTCAAATATCACCAATTTGCAACTTTCCACATTAAGCAAAATTTGATATATAGCCCCCGAGATGTAAGCGTGGCAGAATTAAGGGATTCATCTTCTTGGTTCTTTCGGTAAAGTCACGTAGAAGGGAAGTAATAAAATAATAAAAATAAAACATAATAAAATAATTCTCACGACGTTTCGGCTACAACGCAAGCAGCCGTCTTCAGGTGAAGAATGAGACACTGCCAAGCTAGCAGCTTATATATAAGCTGCGTTGGAGGTGGAAGAAGAGCGCCTTAACAAAAGAATGTGCATATGAAGAGGAATTAGCATATTCATGGCAAATGCGTAAGAGGTGGGTGGGGGGTTTTCAAAGTCATATTATGCCCATGCATTATGCAGGATCAGCAGCACCAAGGGGGGGTGCAGGGATTAGCAGTAACAAAGGAAAGGAATGTTAATGATATGTAGCTGCAGTTACTCAACAACCACGTAGAAAACTCAAGTATAAACTACATAAAAAAAACTAAAGTATAAACTGCATAGCACCATCAGTATACTTACTATACTCTACAATAAGCTGAGTTACTAACAGCAAGTAATACATTACAATTCTACGTCGTAAAAATTATATAATATGCTTCCATCTAAACTTTATTCTATTGCATCACACGAGCATATACCGTACTATATACTACCAACATTAAATTATATAAATCGAGCTTTAAATCGAGAATTAAGGGACTTTACACAACGTTATTTTAAACCGCCTATGACTAAATCACCAGGAATGCACCCGATCTTGTCAGGTCTTGGAAAATAAGCAGAGACGAGCTAGGATAACGCTTGAATGGGTGACACGTACACAAACAAGTTGTTATATGACTTGCGCAAAGCTACATGGTGGGCAGTAGAGTATGTTAAACCAAAATTAAAACTGGTACATTGCTAAGGAGGTAATAGCCCCACAAAATTACAAGCGAGTCAGTACACATACACATATGAATGAAACAGCAAGTACACCCAATGAGCTATCAAATAGTTTACTTCTTATCAATTAAGCCAACGCAGTATTACCAAATAATCTGTTCAAGTACAAGGTTGCTCAGGCATCACTGTGAACTTTGAAAGTTGCGGATCACAAAAACCTTTTCAGTTTTTAACTATGTACTGTTGTACCGACTCTTTGTAGCCACTAATAGCGAGGGATATTCTGTAACCAAGGTGAATGATTAAAGCACAAACCAATTTATGTAAAAGCCATTGAATTCTGGGTACTATACTTGGACGGCCGTTTATTTCATGGGGAATGATAAGCCTCTGCTCATACCCACAAGATGTTTAATCTTGTAAAATGTGTTTGTTGGAAAATGGAATCATGCGAGACAAAGACAACATTTGGATCACCCACAAAGCAGTGCAACCCTTCACGTTAGAGAATATCCCATGTATGTATGATTAACTTATACTGGTAGGAACGAAGTGGACCAGTCTACAATAGATTATTTCGTCCGTCCGTCCGATGTCCGATTACGTGTAGCAACATCACCCCCTACTGAAAACACTTGGCATGACCCTACAAAAACCTTTACTCTGTGAGGCTTTTCTAGCTAAACAAGTGTAACATTCCCTTTTAATTAA